TCTGAAATTCTTGATTACTAGATTAGTGTTAAAAGAAGAATGGTCTATGTGAGAAATGGAGTTTGGAAACTATGCTGACAGAACAGTGATGAGCTTTTTCTATGTAGGTAGCATAATCTACATTGAAGATGGGTTTTTCTTTCAAAAAAAGAAAAAAAAGCAAAACTGTGAACAGCCTGTATGACTGCTTGAGTTTTAGTGCTCTGGATATTTTGCAAGGAAAAAAAAACCAAAAGAACAGATCTGTAGATGTGTATGTCATCGCAATTTGATCAGAATGCTTACCAGAGGAGAATTCCAGTATTAAAGGAATTTATTCCCTAATTTCTCATTCATTTTATTGTAAGTGACAACAGTAGGTGGATTCTAGAGAATGCTTCATTAATATTTTTTTTTCTTCCTAGAAATAAGAGAACATGCATCTTAAAAGTAATATTTATAGCTAAGGCATTTCTGGGCTTGCATACTAAGTCACATACAATCATTGAACCAAAGTATTAGAAAATACTTCGTCTCTAGTCTGTAGTCAAGTCTAATCCAGACCTTCTTCTTATGTTAGAATTGATGTCTAGAAGCTAGTCAAAATATTTGTTTCTAATATCCAATATTTTTTAACATCTAAAGCTTGATTTATCTCTGTTGAAACAGCTTGATTTATCTCTGTTGTTTGGTGAAACACTGTAGTAAAAAGTATCAGATAAAATAATTTTTTAGTATTGTAATTAAATATTTTTTTTTCTTTGAAATGCTGATTTTTCCACTGAAAATTTCCATTTTTCTTTGTAATATGACCTAAGAAGAAATCTTCTTGTCTTGTTTCTAATATAATCAGTTGCTCAGATTTTAGTGGAGATTGAAACTGTAAGGTACCACATGTCTCCTCAGTAATTTTAAATTATACACATTGGGACTCTTACTATATGTTTGTGATTAATTAGTATTAGATAGTATAATTTGCTATGCAAAAGCTAACTCAACAAAAAATAATTTTCTATGTAAGTGGCCCTATGTAGAATTGAAAGGATTTCCCTGAGTTGGTCTGGTCAGCATGTCTGTGTGCACAATTTGCTTTGGGCTGAGAGTCCTTCTTAAGGGGTATTATGTGCATGTACAGTGCTTTGCCTAAAACTTCGTCTGTGCTCAAAGACTATTTTTTCCCAACCTTCCTATCAAAATCCAACATAGATTCTTTAACTAGTCCTTGTTCTGGATATTAAGATTATAGTATTTTGTTTTTAACAAGTAACTCAATTGTAATGTAATTTCCCTTTTTGAAGCTAAGCCCAAAATCAGTGGATATTTTGGTTTGTTGCTCCTGCAAGACATTAAATCCAAATTTATTATTGTCATTTTACAGAGTAGCTCTTCGACAGAAGTATTCAGCATCAAAATCAGCTGAAGGATACTAAATCCTGGTGGTTCTTTCAGAGGTGGAGTAGATATTCTTTTGGGGGATTCAGACTAGCCAGAAATATAGTTAATGAACTTTTAGGTCAATTCTGCCTTCATTCTCTGAGCAGAATTTAAAATTTAGCAATGGCACAGCCTTAGCTCCATAAACAGCTCTATTAGCTCCACAGAGAGGGGTTGGAAGAGCACTGTCATGAGAAGAGTTTTTGAATTCAGCTTGGATGAAGATTAAGAAATAGCAGCAATTCACATTGACCTGCATTTCCCTAAGGGCTCCCACAGAAATGTGCTTTTGAAGTTCAGGAAATACCCAACTTGCATATCAGAATAAATCCAATCATGAAAGATTTCAGGAAAGTGCAATTGGAACCTACCCCTTAATAGCCTTGCAGAACTTGCACATTACCTTACAGAGAATTCATAGGTAAAGAATTAATTCCCCAAATCTTTGTATAAATGCATATATATTTGCTTCCTGTGTTTAAAGAAAGTTCTTTTCATCTCCCTCTTTAATAGTTGGAGGAAGTTAAGTTAAAGATGCAAAATGTGTTGGCAGCACTGGATGGACTTACATGTCAAACTTCTGTACAATTAAATTACATTTACATTTTCACTGAAACATCTTTGACAGGAGCTGATGAAATTTGACCTATGCTTCTGACATGTAAAATGTGTAAAAGTTGGTTATTGTCCAATAGATTGCATTAGGAAGAGCATTTCCAGCTGGTCGAGGGATGTGATACTCTCCCTCTATTCAGCCCTGGTGAGGCACATCTGGAGTACTGTTTCCAATTCTTAGCACAAGAGAGACATGGAACTCCTGGAGCAGGTCCAGTGGAGAGCTACAAAGTTGATCAAAGGAGCATCACTCCTATGAGGAGGAAGGGCTGAGAGAGCTGGGCCTGTTCAGTCTCGAGAAGACACAGAGAGGTTCTCATCAGTGGCTGTAAGAATCTGGAGGGAGGGTGCCAAGATGATGGATCCAAGCTCTTCTCAGTGGTGTCAAGCAATAGGACACAAGGCAACAGGCAGAAACGGATGCACAAGTTCCACTTGACTATGAACAACTTGGTCGCTGAAAGGGATCCCTGCCCATGGCAGGGGACTTGGAAGTAGATGATCTTTAAAGTTCTTTCCAACCCAAGCCATTCTATGATTCTGGTTCTACAAGGAAGAACTTCAATATGGTGCAGGTGAACAGTGAAGCAGATTGCACAGGGAGGCTGGGGGGGTTTCCCTCACTGGAGATACTCAAGAATCATCTAGATGCAATCCTGTGCATTGTGCTCCCTGCTTGAGCAGGGAGGTTGGACCAGACGAGCCCACCAGTGTTCCCTTCCAGACTCACCAGTTTTGTGATATACCTCATCCAAGTGTGTGCCTTTACTATAATATTTTACTATACTATATATGCATATGTATAGATTATTTTAGAATGTTAGTGTAATCATAAAAGGTGATTTGTTTCAGGAATTGCTGTTCAGAAAGGGTTTTTTATTACCTCTAAGATTATGTCATCTGTCTGATCACTAGTGTCTACATTTGCAGACATACTTCATATTTCACTTGTATATATCAGTTCATTCATCAAGGTTTCTTCAACAGTTTCTGGAAGGAATCATGCAGCTCCCCACCTTTGGTCTGTTTGGGCAGCATTGTGTATTCATGCTGATCAATGCAATTGCATTTTCTTCTCTTGTGGTTTTTCAAACAGTAAATACCATTGCCTAAAACTTCACCAGTGCTCAATGCCTTGTTTTCTCAATCTTCAAATCAGAATGCAACATTTCTTTAGAAAGTAGGTAGCAGAAAAGATCCTGGGATGGGATGGAACTTCTTGCTGTTGAAGAACTGATGAAGGCTAAACTCCTATGCAGACTATTTAAAAAAAAAATCCAGTGTTTTGCTCCCAGCCCATGTGTGAGTATTACACACATGGCCAAATGGACCTGTAAGAAATCACTGCTGCATAGTTAAGTGCCTTTGGTTTTGGATTTAATTTACAACTCTTGCAAACTACTGTTTTCCCACTATTGCATCTCAGAGTACAGAATGAACAGTACCAACCTATATCAATACAATCAGAATAAAATAACAGTAGAATTTAAAAAAGATCGTAACCACAAATTACACTGAGAATTACTCTTAAGCCATGTAAAACAATGTTGTGAAAGCACACTAACCCAGCATACCCTAGACATAATTGAATAGACAGCAGGTGGAAGCTCTCAAGTCACTGTTCCACAGCAGTGTGCTGGTTCTCTTTCCATAAATGGGAGAGCATTGCATGGGAGATTTTGCCTGGCTCTGTCACTATTTGTCATGATCAGAATACAGCCAGGGACCATCTGTTGAACAGTTACTTGCAGGGCAACATGTGGTATAACAGTGAAATGAAGCCTAAATAATTAACCGCAATTTTTGAATTTCTTAGTTACTTTGTATTAATTTCATCAGACCTTCAAATTGGCTGAGACAATTTCTGACCAATTTTCTTGATTTCAGAGACATTATCTACTTTGCATAAGGATTTTAATCAGAGTATTAATACCTGTTATTAAGCCAACACCTTCTTTTCTTTGGAAAGGTTGTCTTTCTGATATAGCAGGAGTAAACATTGATCCACAATGTTTTATTTCCTGTTAAAACTGTCAGTGAACAAACACGCTCCAGATGTTGATTAGCCTAATGTTTTTACAGTAAATGCAACTCCTGTGATTACAGCACCATTTCCTCCAGTAACACTTAAGTGCTGAAGTACTTTCTTTCTTGAACTATTGTAAGTGGATATATTTATACAGTAAATGCCACTCCTCTTAGCATGGCATCGTCTCCACCTTAAGATTAGCACCTAACTGCTAAACCCGTTCCGTTCTGGAAATAAGAACCTAAGAACTTCTAGCTCTAAATCCACAGTAAGAGACATTTCCTAGAGCGCTGCACGGGATGAACTTTGTTGGAGAAATTTTTGTCACGGAATAATGCGACAGCCACTTCGCGCATTCCGTCCCGAGCTTTTCCCAAGGGGCGTAGCAGCCTCTCCTCTGCGCTAAGTGGAGAAGGTGGGGATGACACACTCAAGAGATAACATCTCTATGTTCTCTATGCCGGCCGAGCAGAACGCTGTAGCGCAGAGCGGGTGGGAAGTGCACCATCAGCGCGGCTGGAAAAGACCTCTCGGATCATCGAATCCAACCTGTGACCGAAGACCTCTTTGTCAACCAGAACACGGCACCAAGTGCCACATCCAGCCTTTCCATCCGTTCCCGGGGCAGCCCATTCCTTCGCCCTTTCTGTGCAGGAATTCCTCCTAAGGTCCAGCCTACACCTCCCCCGGTGCAGCTTCAGCCTATCTCCTTTCGTCACAGCTTAGGGCTGTGTCCTCTTGAATGAAGCGTGCTGCGTTCGTGGGCGCAGGGCCGGGCCGCGGGGCGCGGCAGGGTCATGGACATGGGCAGGGACACGGGTAGGGACAGGGGCAAGGACATGGACAGGGACACGGACACCCACGAGCCCACGAGCAGAGCCGGCGGCGACAGCGGAAGTGGCGGCGGCCGCCCCCCCGCGCACGTCACGGCGCGGCGCAGGCGCGTGGCGGGGCTGCCGTGGCTCCCTCTCCCCTCAGCCGCCTCCCTCCTTCCCTTCTTCCCTCCTTCCCTTCTTTCTTCCTTCCCTCCCTCCCTCCGTCCCTCCCTCCCTCCGGGCCGCGGCTCCTCCCTGCACCACCTTTGGCCGAGTCGCGGGAGTGCGCAGACGGCACAGCTCCTCGGCGGCAGCGGCTTCATCCGCGCCGAGCATCAGTCGGGAAGGCGCGTCCTCCTCCCCTGCCTCCTCTTCTCGCTGCCCCGAGAGCCAGTGCCATGGAGCTGCCCGAGAGCCAGTGCAAGAAAGTCAAGCTGAGCAACAGGGTGCCGAGCTGGGTGAGCGGGCGGGCGGCGCGCCGGTGGGCAGGTGGGCGTGCGGGGCGGGGAGCGGGAGAAGAAGCGGCCGAGCGCCCTGGTGCTGTGGCAGCGGGAGCCGGGCCGGGGGCTCGGTGCGCCGCTGCCCGCCCGGGCCGGGAGGGGTGCGGGCGGGCGCGCGGCGGGGCGAGCCCGGTCACGGAGCGGCGGCGCCGGGGCCCCGAGGGCAGCGCGGCCGGGGAGCCCCGCCAGCGGCCCGGGCGGCTCTGGGGAAGGGCAGGAAGCCCCTCCGGAGAGGACCCGGCGTCCGTAGGATTCATCCCTGCCCCTTCCGCTGTAACCCCTCGGCTTCCAGCTTTTTGGAAGAAGGAAGACTTAAGAATGCGATGTACAATGTGGCCATTCATAAACTTGGGTTGGCCAGAGACTGGGCTTCTTTGTATAGCGGGTGTTATGTGGAAAACTGTCGAGACTGGACTTAAAAAAATCTAACCAAAGCCTTCATTCTTGTTAGTAAAGATGGGGGAAGATCGGTTTACAGCAAAGACCAAAATGTAGCTATTTAGAAGAGACATTGCAGGCCTTTAAGAACATTTGATACCTCTGATGATGCAAGACAAGTGAAAATAAAAAGAAAGTATGATTTCTTTAAATCAATGCTGAGTTGAAACAGGCAAGACATAAGATCCAGAAAACATTTGATACGAATGTAAGAGTGTAAATCAGTCTTTGAAGTCTTGCTGTGAGTAGTGCAGGCCACAGCTTTCTTGATAAAAGCAGCTGTTGCCTGGAAAACGGGGAAGTTGCTGTCATACTGTTCGGTAGATGTTGCCTCTTCCAAACTTGTTCACATAAGAGAGTAATCAGCAATTTACATTCTTTCAATTTCCACTAGGAAAAAGCAAAATCAGATGTTTAGAAGATAGTGAAATAGACGATGTCTGTGTGGACTTAACAAAGTGTTTGCAAAAATTACTCTGTATCATTTCCTTAGTTTTAAGCAGAGCCAAGATAGATTTGTCCAAACTGGGGCAATTCCTTAATGCACATTAAGTATTTGCTGAGTTCAACTGAGGTTGGCAACCCTGTCTATGCTACGTGGCAAACAGAGGAAATCTTCCACTTCTCCCTTTTTCTTCAGAAGACCTCAACTGAAATGCTCTCTGTAAACCAATAAGCTTCACCAGGAACAAGAATGCTTCTGATTCACATGCTCCACAGGCAAATGTTCTGGCACTTCTGGCTCTGCATCTGTTCAGCTGAGAGTGAAGTCAAAGCAACTTACCCTGATGGAATTGGCAGCCCCTAGCACAGTAGGCAGAGCCCTGTCTTTCAGAACGTCTCTTTGCTTCCAGTGCAATTCAAAATACACTTCTGCCTGTGGATATGCTCTTGCCAAGCCCACCTCTGAGCACAGCAGTTACTTGCCGTTTCCAGAGCGCAGCACAGCCACAGACACTGCCATTAAGTGCAGAGTACGTGGCTTGATAGGGAGAGGTGTGGAACTCTTTCTTTAGAGTGGCTTGGATTCTAACACAGCTGAGCTGCTGTGTCAGTTTGCAGGTGACTCCAAATGAGAACTTGCTCCAATTGTTGTATTCTTGTTTCTTAGAGCATATTCAGTAGGGTAATTTTGGCTTCATTTTTTATCCATCCTCTCTGATGCCAGGCAGTGAGTCCCCTCCAGCACTGGTCAATGAGCTGTCTCTGCATTTGGTCATACTGGTATGGCAGCAGGTGGCAAGTAAAGACACACTCCTTAATAATATCCTTAGCGTGGAATTTCTTGTATCCACAGTACTGGGGAAGACTCTGGTTGATGTCTACTGCTGGGATCTTTCAAATTGTCCCAACTTTAGGGCACCTGGCAAAGGGGAGTTAGTCTGTGTCAGTGGCAGGAGAGCATGCATTCGGCAGCTTGAGTGGTGCTTTATGTAGAGGTGTGTAAGTGCCTTATTGTATTGGTATCACTTTGACAATCTGCTTTCTGGTTGGCTATTGTAAGGATCCAAATAAGTATTCTTGTTGTAGATGGGAGAAAATGTAATGCTATAGGCTATGGCAGAATATGGATTTGCAGACTTGTTATGTGTTTAAAAAAGTAAAAGATATTATTGCTCAGATATAATTTCTGGACTTGCCCTTCCTTCCCAAGCACAGTTGTCTGAATCAAAGCACAGATTTTCAAACCAGCATTTGAGAAAGTAGCTAATGGAAGGTATTCCTGACAGATATTTTAGTCCTGAAATCTCATATAAATATGTAGGTATAACCTCTGTAGCTGAATTTTTGTGTTGGAACCATGTCTGTTTTCCTTGCTTGTGTTTGTATGTAGACAAAAAAGATGGGCACTGTTCCATGTGCTTGAGTTGCTGTTTGGCTATTGAGCAGAACACTTTTCAGGGAATAAAAAGAAAACCACCAATTGGTTATCAGTGCTGAATAATATATATCATAAAAATGTGTTGTTATCAGGGAGTCACTGGTTTATAAGAGGCACATGGTGAGCAGCTTAACAAATTACCTAAAGAACTTCTGTTATGACTGGGAAATGAGAAAAGCATTGAAAGTAAGACTGCGATTCAGAGGGGAGGTTGATTGTGTTGCTTTTGTAGCTTATGGGAGTTCTTCGCTTGGGGAACCAACACTGGCATCTTAGAGCAAAGGATGTGGAATTAGTCAGTTTCTTCAGTGTATATGGTTTATATGGAAACCATGTCTGTTTTCTGATCCTTCCAGCTTCAAGCTGTCCCAAGTTTATGATGCAGCTTGGGGAGTCTCAGCTTGCCATGGAAAGATTTACTTCTTTCCCCAGAGGTCTTGCTTTGTGAAAACTTAAAATTTTATATTGATCATAGAAGTACAATATTTTATTATTGCTTGGAAGTAATGAAGAATAAATCCAGCTTATGCCAGTGTGCCATTTGTCTGTTAACCATAAAACAATTAAGATATAATCTCTTCTTTTAGCTTGGCATTGTCTTTTGATCTTGGCATTGCAACTTGGGTTTGCTTTCCATCATCTGGATGCCTGTGTTCTTGCATCAAAGGTGTTTGGTGCTGATAGTCTGATTTGGCTTTGGCAATAAAAAAATTATAGCTGTAACTGGGCAAAACATCAAGGAAAATAAGAAAAAAAGTGTCATCTCAGGAAGTCTGTACATACAGAAGTTGACAGAGTTAGTATTTCCTTTTGACCCCCATCATCTTTCTTTCTTTCTTTTGTTCCTGTGGTTCCAAGGTGTCTGTAATCATTAATTTCTGTGGTCAACTACCTGCAAAGCTAAAATTGACCTTCATGCTAGGAGAAGTAAACAGGCGAGTTATCCTTCCTTCTTTATCATTGCACCTCTTCAGTGTGCATCCAGGAAAGGATTTCTTTAGTACCCCTTTTTTTACTCCAATACCAAGATGTTTGCCTGTTGGAGCAATTTAGATTTCATGTGAGAAACGAACCAGCATAGTGGGGGAGAAGAAAGGAGGGATATATCAGCATTCTCAGCTGATGTTACTGCTATAATGAAACACAGTGGACTGAAGCACTATTTCTGTTTAACATGGTGAAGTAGGAGGGAAAATATTAAGATAAAGTGTTTGCCTACATAATACAGAAGCAGTGTGTTGCAGGGTGGAAGACGTATTTTTGTGGGGATGTCAGTGTGGAAATATCGAGTGGCTGTTAAAAAAGCAGATAAACCTTGGTGATTAATGCCCTCTTTTTCATTAGCCCCTTTACAAAAATGTAGTGTGTCCTTAAAACAGTGGCTACTATACTGAATGTAATTAGGCTTAGAATTTTAGAATAGCTTTTTCAAAGAGAATTTGTGCATCACATTGAGTTTTTCTATTCCATATTTCCTTAGTTGAATTTCTTTTAACATTGTTAATATGGATCTTGAGGTGAGTGATGCTTTGATATAACGTAAAAGGAAATTACTGTTCTTTATATCTGGTATAATTTTGGTTGGTCATTTAATTTCATCAGTTGATAGTCATGAAATTTTATGTACAAGAATTTGAAGACTGGCTAAATAATTTAAGTGCACAAACAATATGTGCCAGTGAGTGTTTTTTTGTGCCACATCAATATTTGTAGTAAGTGTGTATGTCAGGGATAGTAATTAAAAACCAGGTTGTTGAAGATATGATGCTCAGCTTGTTCATCTATTTATGCTCAGTGGTGTGGGCAAACCATTATTTAATAAGAAGGTGAACATAATTCAGGAGTTTTTTTTTTTTTTCAGCAACAGAGAATGCCTTGCTAAATTATTAACTTTTTAGAGCACCTCTATAAAATTGGTTTTCTTTCAGAAGATAAGGGGGATTTGGGTACTGTTTTGCCTAGGATTAGTACTGAGCTGCCTTGTTTGTGTGCCTGTACACAGATACAAAAGGTGGGGCAGCTAGTGACTGGCAGGTGTGATTTTGGGTGTGTGCAGACTCTTTGGGCACTTCAACCTTTAGTCTTAGATGCCTGCTTCTGAAGTTCAGGTGGATTATTGTCCCTCTGCTCAGCTCGCTGGCTGCTCACTGCACACGTGTGTCTTGTCCTCTGGCAAGGCCTTCTCCTTGCTGTGATTTCTCGTCTCTGCTAAGTAGGTATTAATACTTTTTTTTTTTCATAAAAATTATGTATTTTTCATCATTTTAAGAATCCTTCCAGCCTGCTTCCTCAGGGTTTGTGTTTTGTAAACCTAATGTAATACGCTGATTAGGTTCATCGCTACTTTTCTAGTTCCTAGTTTCCTAGAAAAGAGAGGTAGCTGATGTAACTTATGGAATATGGACTGGAAGAAGTCTCCTTGAATGAGACATTTGACCTCCAATGTACAAGTTTGATAATAGACTAGTTGCCAGGGATCAAAAGCAAAGCAAATGTAGGTTTATATCTTCATGTAAGAGAGCTTACTGAGACAGTGGCATGGTATTTGTGCTTTGAGATTGCTGTTTATCCAGTGCCTGGTACAATGTAGTACAACTGCAATTAATGAGAGAGAATGTAGCTATTACTGTGTTAGTTTGAATGGCTGTGTACATTCATTATGTGCTATATAGCTTTTAATTGAAGCACTTCAATTATTTTTGTTGGTTTTAATTCCACACTTTGCTAACTGAGATCTCCAATTTTATGTACTGCATAATTGTTCCTACTATAAGAAGAAAGATTTTGATTTTTTGACTTTTTGACTTTTGGTTTTAGTAAGCTGTATTGCAATGACTTTGTGCATGAAACAGCTTTGTTTTGGGAGATAAATTATTTGAAGGTGACATGATCAGCAAGGATAACTTCATTTTGTATGGTTATTAGCTATGTGCAGATCGTGGTTTCTTCCGGGTTGATGTTCAGTGTTCATCTAATTTTAGTTGCTGGACTATCACCACTGAATTACAGAGTTATTGTGTTTAAAACCTGAACACAGGTTCTTACCTTGAGCTTCTGTTTGTATTAAATATGAGCCCAGCTGTATATAGAACTGGGGACATACAATCACACAACTTCATCATTTCCAAATAACTTATAGATAAATCTTTGAATAGAAGAATGATGTAGCAGCAGTCCTTGAAGCCACAAGCAGATACCATATTTTTGTTAATTCTACTTTGTGGTGTCCCTCTCTGAAACTCTAGCTCTCTGCTAGTACTCCGTAGAGGAATATAGTCCCTACTTTCTTTTATTAAATGTTAATAATACTGCATGTTTTATTTTTCAACTGGCACTGATAAAATGATGAAAGAGAAGACAGTGCAATACATTTGCAAGCAAAGGAAGCCAAAGCAGCATTACAGATACCATTAATCCCTATCATCCCCTGCCCTCTCCCCTCTTTTTTTAAAGTCTTCTTTTTTGTTTGATTGTTCATGCAATCTAAGGTCTTGATCTTTCACAAGCAAATTTCAAATAGCCAGATACCATTAAAGTCTGGGATGATGCCAAGGCTGATCTTCCTGTGGGCTCTCTCACTTGAGATTGTGAAATGTATTTGACAGCAGGATCATCTTACTGAATTTATTTGTAGAGCAGGTTATTATGATTAATAGTTTTAAGAAATGCGGTAACCAGCTTTAATTAAAATTATATTAAAAAACTCAATTATTTTAAAATAAATTATTTAAGAAGTTACTTGAAATAATACTTTCTTTAAACATTTAGAATCTATGATAACTATCTCTTGTCTGGGGACTGATGATAAAGGCACTTACTTAACTGAAATTTGGAAGAGACATGCATCGTTTGCAATGAAAAGGCCTCTGAGGGCTTAAAAGTGAGCCAAAGAGCCAGTGCCACCAAATTTGACAGGCATGATCTGCCCTTGGTGAAGCCAAGTTGGCAGTCACAAATCACCTCCTTATTTTCTGTGTGTCTTAGCATAATTTCCAGGATCTTCTGCTCCATGATCTTGGTGGGCAGAGAAGAGAGACTGGTGGGTTTGTAGTTGCCCAGGTCTTCCTTACTTTCCTATTCAAAAACAGGCTTATGTTCCTCCTTTTTCAACATCCCCCGACTGCTGTGACTTCTCAAATATGGTGGATCATAATTTAGACACATCCTCCACCAGTTCACTCAGGAGCTATGGATGCATCTCTTCAGGTCCCATGGACCTGTGCACCTTCAGGCTCTGTAGATGGCTTAAACCTGGTCTTCTCCTCCCTTGGGCAATGGTTCTTCATTCTCACAGTGCCTCCATTTGCCTTTAATGACTGGAGCACTTGTCAGTGAAGATTGAGGCAAAAAAAGTCATTGACTACCTCAGCCTTTTCCATGTCTCCCATTTCCATCCAGAGAGAGCCCAAGTTTTCCCTAGCCTTCCACCCTCTGTAGGATTCCTTTTTGTGTTTGAGTTTGTCTGGGAGTTCCTTGTTCATCCATGCAGGATTCCTGGCTAGTTTATCCTGGCTTCCTCTTTGTAGGGATGCATCACTCCTGAGTTTGGAGGAGGTGGTCCTTGAATATTAACCAGTTTTCTTGGGCCTCTGTTCTGCTCTGGTCTTTATCCCATGGTACTCTACCATGCAGATCCCTAACATTACTTGAGTCAAGTCAAATAGCTCTAGCAGTTCATCTCTCTTTTTTATAGTTGGTTTTTCTTAAGCAAGTTTTCTTTGAAAGTAGTAGTTGATTAACCTGTCAGACCCAAGCTTCACTGAAGTAGCACAAGGGGTGTGGTTGTCTATGGCTGACTATTCTAATTTCCTGTGCCTTGTTTGATCCATGCTGATGGAATGCGTATTGGTTTTACTTCCATTTTCTGTCCTCAAGTCTTTCTTTGTGCCTCTGGATGAATTTGTTTGCTTTGCCAACTCATCCTTTATCAAAGACTTAATCGGCTTCTTCTTTTACAGGGAATGCAAAGGGCAACCAATGTTACCTACCAAGCTCATCATGTCAGCAGGAATAAGAGAGGCCAAGTCGTAGGAACAAGAAGTGGTTTTCGTGGCTGCACAGTCTGGTTAACAGGTACAGCCATGGGTTTCTGAGGATCCTTTTGTTTTAGTTACTCCTTTGAAAAGCTACTTAGCTGTAGCTCTTTTTGGCATGAAAACTTGAATGTGAAATCTAAGATCTTGATGCAATTTTATTACTATTGTTAGGTAAACTAGTAGGAAATTGCTTTGGGACAAATAGAAACTTGAAAATATATTTTGTTCAGTGCTCTGTGAGGGTTGTTTTTTTGATACTGTCTGCTACTTAATTCTGGTTTTCTTTGTGTGTGTTACTTTTTTTTTCCCTTTTTGTTTTAAACACTTCTGTCTCTTTGTACTGTCCATTTTATCTATTTAGAAATGAAATGCATCTTTGTAAGAGTGTGTACTTCTGGATCTTTTCTGTAAAAGCCTCTTCTCTTTGGATTGTTACTGTCTCCTTGGTGTGAAATAACATTTCAACATAAACCTGTGCCATTGGACAACAATTGCACAGTTAGGCAATGCATACTGGCAGTTATTTTTGAAGTCAGCTCTATGGTGTTCATTTTTGGGTTTTTTTTTTTTTTTTTTTTTTTTTTTTTAACTAGAGAAGATAAATATATTCTGGAAGATTTTTTTTGTCATAACAGTGAGGGAATTTTTTGTGTCTTTCAAAGTTTTTGGAAGCTTTAAAGTATTTCCTGTAAAGTTCTTTTTTTTAAATTTTAGTTAAACTGATAATTTAAAAAAATAGCAAAATATAATTTAATTGGCTTGTAAAGCATTTAGAACATTGTTGTATTGCAACATAAAAGATCCTCACAGAGTATTAGGGAAACTTACTACATTTGCATTAAGTAATACTGATTTCAACTAGTGTTAGTAAATGTGGGTGAAATGTAAATGTGAAATTGATAACAAACTGCTGAGAGCCATTCCAAGCAGATTTGCTTGCTGTCATGTATTTCTTTGGGAAAAGAATGGAGCCCTTTCTCTCCTCATTTCCATCACACAGCTCCAGCCTCTCTCAATGCTTGAATGATCTGGTGGGCTGCCTTTCTGTTTCTTCTGGTAATTCATTAATCTAATTTTGGAAAAGGTCATGATAAAAATGTGTTCTCAGTTATCTACATGGCAACATTTTCCAGTTAATGTTCTCTTTAAACAAATGTAAAGTTAATGCCCGATTTCCTTTTTGTCCAGGAAGGAGAGTGGTGGTAAGATACCAAGAATATGTGTGGGAAGCTAGGTTATTGAAGATGTTTGAGCAGTAATGTGAAAGGGTGAAAAGGAGTCTAGACATTGAAGTAAGCAATCATTGCCATTCCAGAACTGTGCAAACATGAGTTTCAAAATTCTAATAGGTATTAGAATAAAAGCTGAAATATTGGTACACTCCAAGATTCTTTCACTTTGTCAGCACTCATGGAGTGGGAGTGTACGGAAAGATCTTTCAGGGGTCACTTTTCATTTTTCAAGGTAACCTTTATTTGAGAGCTCTATTTTAATGAATGTTGAATCAGAGGGTCCTAGTAAAATTGAGTAATTTAACAAAAATGTGGAAAAACATTGCTTTCATGTGTAAAATAATATGCAATTTTTAGAGTGTAAGTTATTTTAAAGACTTGTTAGCTTGAGGAATGTTTTTAAATTTGTTAATGTATAACCTTAACTTTTGCAATTCATTACATGTTGGAGACCAAATGATGTGTGAAAAGACAGAGTTGTTTGAGTGAATAGCAAGCTAGATGTGGGGACAAAAATGGCAAGTCAAAGACTGCATCAGTGAGAAGTAAATTATGAAGTTGCAGAGATCTTCATTTGGACTATCATGCTTATTTTCTGATGGGGGTGTACTTAATTGCTGCCAAAAGATCGTTCTGTTTCCTGCCTTGTGTTCCTTCTCTTGCCTTGCACAGACTGTACCTCTTGCCCAACTCAGCGCTGAGCTGATTAGATGATTAGGAAATCATCACTGAACTTACCACAGCCTCTCACCAGATACACAAGAGGGAGAAAAAGGGAGAAAACCTTATGAGTCTGGAGGGGGTGAGATTAACAGACTGAGTTGGCTAACAGGCACCAGAGGAAGCAATGCAATGACTCCTTTCCTTTAAGTTACAGCACAGGCTGTCAAGGTTTCCTTTGCACTTTGTGTTTTCCTAGGACACACTTCCTAGCATGATTACTAATCCTTTGCCATAGATGTCTTGGAAGTAACACCAAGCTGCTGTTTTGTGTGATTTTTTTTGTTGTTTGTTTGTTTTTCTCCATTCTCTGAAAGTTATAATAAATCTTAATGACCACTAATAAAAGCATTTTTCTTTACCCAGTAGTGCTTTTTATACTACTATTGCTCTTTTTTCCCCCCTCACTCAAAGCAGAAATGTCATCTCATGAAGATCTGAGTTTGTGTTCCATTTACAAATTGACTACTTTTTAGTATAAGCAGAAGCATATGCTCCAGATAAATTGAAATCTTGTCTGGAAAAATTATTTAAATAATTTTCCAAATGAAAGTGAACAGTGGACTTTTTAGGGTCAGCATAGGTTTGTTGCCAAAGATTCTCAATTAGACCAGACTTTGGTAGTACAGTTTTCTTTTCTTGTTGCTAACACATGCCATTTAGTGGAGCATTACTGCTGTGTGTGAGTCCTGAGTGAGTCAGTGGTGTCTAATTCAGTGTTGTTATTCTGCAAGGAGTAAGAGCAGAGTGTGAGTTTGGCCTGATCCCATTTCTTTTGTTGACTGAAATTCACTTCAATGTGAGATCTTCCCCTTCTCATATAAATGTAACATCCTAACTGTGTTTGGTTTCAGAATTAAGTTTACTCAGCTAGTAATAATTACCAGCAGCACTGGGGAAGAAGCATCATCTCTATAAGCAGCTCAAGGCTAAACTCTTACCTGCTTCAAATTGTACACTTAACTTTTACCTTACTGTCTCTTTACCTAATGTGTGAGTAAAAGGCACTTGGCTTATATTCCAAATAAGCTTGTCCAGAAGGTATTACTGCTGATGCCTGTCAATTTGGAATTTTCATAATATGCATGCACTACAAGTTGCCTTAACTTGTTCCTATGCTTATTTGTTTATATTACTATTGAATATTTTAGGACTATCTGGTGCTGGGAAGACTACAGTGAGCATGGCACTGGAGGAATATTTAGTATGCCATGGTATTCCATGCTACACATTGGATGGTGACAATATCCGCCAAGGCCTTAATAAGAATCTGGGTTTCACACCAGAAGATAGAGAAGAAAATGTGCGTCGTATTGCTGAAGTTGCTAAATTGTTTGCAGATGCTGGCTTGGTGTGCATTACTAGTTTCATCTCTCCTTATGCTCAGGTAAGTGTGAAAAGCATCTAGATGTTCCATTTTTCTAAATGTAGGGAAAATGCAAAATATAATTCAGGATTCACTCCCTGGAGGTGAGAGACAAAAAGGATGTGTGAACACCCAAGTGTCTTGAAGAATGACCTGGGGACTTTAAGCTTAGGTGTTTCACAGCATGAGAATGTGTTATTTCTTTGGTTAGAGTGATGCAAACAGTTCTTCTGATAATAATTTGGGGAACTCAAGCCCTGCAGTATAAGAGAAGTCTCTAGATATGAGAAAAATAACTAATAAAATAACCAATATTTAGTAAGAGAAGGTTTTAGTGGATTTTGGAAGACTTTTTTTGTTCTCTCAATGAAAGTCATGACAGTCATGTTGTTCCAATGCTTGGCAGGCCATAAAAATAATATGATAAAGTACTGCAAATAATACAATATTTTGACTACACAAGTATTGTAAGATTAAGGAATGTAGGGAAATCTGTGCTTAGGAGAGAAGGATTGTTATATCAAGAGCAGCAGATAACACCTTCTCCCTGCTGTACTCAACTAGGCAGCTGTAATACCTCAGACATATATGTGTGAATATAGAAAACCCCGCATTCTATTGGTTGGGTTTGGTTGTGGGTTTTTCTTATAAATCAAGTTTAATGTGAAATATCTCACATCTTCCTGTCAGCTTTTACCATGTGATGTACTGCAGCCAGGTGATGTAGCTTGAAGGGCATCAGTTAATCAAATCACATTTCTTTTTTCAAACTTTGAAAGTTTGTTTACATTGTGCTGTCAGCCTCTTTAAAATGAACTTCAAAGGCAAAAACCAGTAAAAATATGTGGGGGCAACCTTTTAGGATTTTTCTTCTGTTTTCTTTCAGGATCGTAATAATGCCAGACGAATTCATGAAGGGGCAAGTTTGCCTTTTTTTGAAGTATTTGTGGATGCTCCATTGCATGTTTGTGAGCAGAGAGATGTTAAAGGACTCTATAAGAAAGCCAGGGCTGGAGAAATTAAAGGTGAACCTCGATGTAATCACATCCTTTCTTCTTAAGTGTAATTATTGGTGTAATTAGTAAAACATTGGTGTAGTTTGACTCCATGTAAGTGGATGTGCTGAAGTCTGAGTGTATCACCCTTAAAAAGAGCATGAATTCAAGACAGGAGAAAATAGAAATTAACTTCTAACTCATGGAACTGACTAGTTAAGTGTATAGGACAGTAAAAGAGTAAAAGCGACTAATCACAGATAGAAAAAGCCTTGAGCGCATTAAAGGTTGGAATAGAAACCACGTAATGATTGAAGATTGGTCTGTTGCCTTTGTGTGTCCATTGACCAGTTAAAAAGAGCCTGATTCTTTCTAAAGTCTTTAAAGAACTACATTCATAAAACTTGCTAGTTTCTTCCAAAAAGTAAAAACAAGGCCACTGTCTTCTTGTAAGGACCATTACGAACACTTCTGAAGATACTTACTTTTACTTTGAAATCTGTGTTCTGTTCTAGTGCCCATGAATATTATTCCCTATTCCCAGCCTCAGGTTAAGATTTAAGTATAACCTGCAATATAAAAAGCTTAGTTATGCAATCATTCATTGCAACTATTGTTTCAAGTGCTGCTTTGCTCTGTTACATTATAATTTGCAGAGGCTGATGATAGATAGCTCTGTATTTAGTAGCAAAGCAGATTTTTTTTTGAAGTAATCACTTCTGGGGGTGGAGTTTGCAGATGCTGTATGAATTCACTTTAATCAGAAGTAATATAAAATTCAAAAAATCAAAGACATTCTGTATGAGTGGTTGCTTGATACTTCTAGTACTACACAATGTTTTGTGCAGGCACCAGGAATAAATGAAGCTGAACTAAGATTTGTTCAAAATCAAAGTAAGATGGCTTGAGCTGACATGATAAAAAGATACAGTTCTGTACAGAATCCTTATTTGGGCCTATTTTGTGAACATCTCTAATATTTTGTTAATTTTACAAGCCACATAATGGAACTGTGTTCCTGAAGAAGTGGTAGTGAAGTAAACAGTGCCTGAGCAAGATACAAGTGTGTGTAGCAGTGACTGTATCTTATGACTTATCTGATAGATGAAGGATCAAAAGTAAACCATCTTGCCAGTTCACAAGGAATGTCAGCAAATGTTATCTTCTTTTTCTCTGGAAATAGTAATGAAACACTTTCTTTGCCTCCTGTTCCCACTCTTCCCGTAATCTCATCCTTGTAAAGTATACAGGTTTTGAAAAAGGTACCACCCTTTCTTTATCACATGGGGTACTGCAGTAATTGAGATTTTTCTTAGATGAGGAACTAAACTGCTAATTTTAAGGGTATTAAATCCAAAGGGAAAAACTGGGATTCTAATGTTTGCATTTGCACTTGTGGTGGATGCAGACAGATGTTGAGTTGCTGAAGCCTAGCTCATATTCCTGACACAGATCTGACTTGTAGTGCTGATAACTCTTTACCTTTGGGTTTGAGTTTTCCTTCTTGTTTATGCATGGGTGGTGGAATCTCCACGATTTCAAAGCAGACTGCAAGCTAAGTAGGCCAGAACAAGTGTCGCTGGTAGCTTGTAAAGTCTGTTTACAGCTATTATAATAAACAGTCATCAATCTTACATTAGCAGCTATCTTGAGATGAGTATATTAGCAAAACTAATGTAAAAAGTGTTGAAATTCCTTACTTCAGAGTACTGCTTGGTGGTGTGAGTGTAAATTTGCATACATACTGGATGTTCATAATATTTTTTCATATTTTATTTATTTTTTTAAGGGAAACAATCAGCTGATAGTGGAGGACAGTAGATGCACAACTAACTCTGGGTTGATGTGCATGGTTCTTCCGTCAGTGCTATTTTTTTTTCTTCTTCACAGTAAAAACCAAATAGCTTCACCAACAAATAAGTGCTATGTATGTACTGCAGAATGATGAAGTTTGATGCTGTCAGATACTATGATTAGCAAAGAGTCTGATAAAGAAAAAACCTGCTGATTTCCCTAAGAATTCCTGTATTAAGGAAGCTAAAGCTCCATGTTCTTGCCTGTTGTGTTCATTTATGTATAGAAAGCTGTCTGTGAGCAGCATTAAAGTGAAGTCATCTTTTGGAAGAAGTTGCCTAATATTTTTGTTTTATGTTCTATAGGTTTTACTGGGATTGACTCCGAGTATGAAAAACCAGAAGCCCCAGAGCTTGTGCTGAAAACTGATTCCTGTGATGTAAATGATTGTATACAACAAGTTGTGGAACTTCTTCAAGAGAGGGTGAGCAGAAATGGAGACGTATCTTAGAAACTTTTGTCCCAAGTGTTTGTGCATGCAATCTGAATGTAAGTGCTGGGAAAAAAAAAAGACAGTTTTTGAGACATAAAGGTTTATGCATCTTTCAATTCAAACTTTTAACTTGTCCTATTGTGTGTTTCCTTTTTAAATCTGAACAATGCACAGCATTGATCTCCAAATGAAATAAGATTTGGACAAGTGGAAAATTAATTTATATCAATAACTGGAAGGGAGAGGAGGCTGTCTTAGTTGTTACACAACCAACAGTGAATGCTGACTTAAAAATGCTAGCAACCAGTTTTAAAGAATCTGAATTTTACGTTGTCTCTGTGAGAGACACCCATGCTATGGGTGTCTCCCACAAGTCTCTGTAGTGTACTCATAGTACGCTAGTGTATTAATATGTACAACAGATGTAAAGAGACAGGGGTGCACTTACACAGTGTTTTGATCTCACTTAAATAGGGGCTGCTGTGCTTGTATCTACTTTCCCTTGTTTCCACTGTTTTTCTTGTACTAGTAAAAGTAGCCCTGCAATTGTGTAATGACCAGCTCAGAAAGCTGATCTTCTTGACATGGCTGAGTTGAGTTTATGGTTCATAGCTTCTGAAAAGGTAGCTCTTTTTCCTTGTTCATGCCTGCAAACTACACCATCCCTTTTGAAGTCTCTGAGCCTTCTCCTGTTGCCTGATAAGTAGATTTGGCTCATTACCCAACTTTGAAAACCTCACCCCCAACAAATACTACATGGAAAACAAATCAAACAGACAGAAAACCCCCAAACTTAACACTAAAAGTGAAAGCAGTGAAGCCTTTATCCTCTTGAAACCCTACCCCCAGAATTTGCTAATCCTCATGTAGAAGAAATGTGTTTCCTTACATTCTTATCTGTAGTCAGCAGGTCGTGAATGACATTCCAGATAACTGTTTCTTTTTAATTGAGATACTCTTGCAGATAATAACTTGTGTTTTTTTTTATGTGAGTTGGATGTTCTGAAAATTTTGAGTATAGACATCATTTTGAGTAAATAAAGCTCCACCAAGTGTTGAAATTGATACAAGTAAAAGATCTCATCTCATCATGAGTTATTTTTAATCCTCTGTATAAGTACAGCTCTGGAGAGATTGTACTGAAATTTTCAAGAAAATTTCTCAAGGATGACTGCTTGCTCAGAGTTGCTCAGGAGATAAGACAGGGCAGAAAGCCATAAGAGAATTTTTGCCCAAATCCCCATCTGAATATTTTTTGGAAGAAAATAAGAGAGCTGTGTAGGAATCCTACCTATGAGAGGTGGCCGTTCCTGACTGTAGGGCCCTGTGCCTGCTGCTCAGAGCAATTCATAGTTATAGAAACCTGTGTCAAGTGATCCCTGAAGGCTTGCATTTGTCCACAGTGCTGACTGCTGGCTCCTAGCCCAGTCAGCTTTAAGGCGCATCTAGCACTTTTTTCCTTTTCTTTGAAGATAACGGTATAATGAATGCAAGATATCGTAGTGGTTGCTTAGTTCAGTTAGTGGTTGCTATCATTAAGAGAGACAATGAAATCAATGCAAGGCTAAACAGGCATGGCTTGGTTTCAAACCATATTAATGCAATGCTATCTTAAAAATGTAATTTCTGTAGATTTCCTGTAATATGAACAAGAAGACTTATAAGAGGGCTGAAGAAGGACTTTTTATAAGGGCATTTAGGGAGAGGCCAAGGCTTTAAATTCACAGAAGGTAGTTTAGATTAGGTATCAGGAAGAAATTCATTACTGTGACCTGGTGAGACACTGGAACAGGTTGTCCAGAGAAACGGTGGATGCCCCATCCCTGGAGGTGTTGAAGGCCAGTTTTGATGGGGCTTTGAGCAACTTGGTCTAGTGGAAGGTGTCCCTGCCCATGAAAGGAAGGTTGGAACTAGATGATCCTTAAAGTCCCTGCCAATCCCAACCATTCTGTGCTTCTATGATTCTATGAAATAAATTGTTCAGCATTATAAAAACATTTTTAGCATTATGGAAACATGTGCCTGTGCTGCAGAGAAGATTACCTGCATGCTCTACTGTAAATAACAAGAGCATAGCCAGGAGCTCAAGAAAAGCAATTTTGCAATTTTATATGGCACTTGCAAGACCTTGTCTGGATACCTTGTCCAGGTTTGTGCCCTTCTCTTTCACCCAGAAGAAAACAGACATTGATGTGCTTCTGTGAGCTGAGCAGAAGGTCACCAAGATGGTCAGAGGCTGGAGTATGTCACTGTACAAAGAGAGGCTGAGAGGAAGTGGATTTCAGCATGGAGGAGGCTAAAGGAGTTCTTGTTGGAGTTTCTATCATCCAAGTGGGAGAGTTTAGGGAAGACTGATGAAGACTTATTTTAGAGTTGTATGAGGGTAGGATGAGGGTAGCACACATGAAATGAAATATGGGAGATTAAAATTAGATACAGGGGGAAAAGCCTTTTGCTATAAAGATGGTCAATTATTAGAACAAGTTGCTTTGAGTGTTTGTGGATGCCCTGTCCTTAGAGATATTAAATGCTTGATTGGCCAAGATCCTGAACAGCCTGCTGCAGTGGGACTAGTTTTGTGCAGGAGGCTGCACTAGATGATCTCCAGAGGCAATCAGCATCAGCAAAGAACCCATAACCCCAGTGTGAGGAGGCACATAACACATCTGGTTTATTTTTTTTATTATTTTGCTATTTTTTATATGAATGCCTTGAGAAATAATAAATATTGTGGAATATTCTGTAACTCGTCCTTCGGTAGAATTAAGCTTTCAGTAAAACTGATGCCTTAGAATGGTCACTAGATGGCTTGCTAGCCTAACGTTTTCCTAATTCCTAAAGTTCATACAGTTTAAAGATGCATAGATTCCTTTTGTTGATGGTTTTCTTGTTTTGTTGTTTTTTAATCTGAGTTGATGTTTTAAGTACGACTTTCATGTGTGCAAGGGAGTCTAGATTTACTAATCCTACAAGTTCTCCAAATGTCAGACTCAGTTGCTGGAACTGTCTTGGAGCTGTTTGTATTTGTATAATTAGGTAGACTGTTGACAGAAACTGCTTTGTGAAACCTTTGTTTTGCCAGTTAAACTGGGACACTAAAACCAGGATAATACTTTTTATCTTTTTAATAGGCACGTTTATTTTAAGCTATTGATGGTTTGTAAAATTAGGACATCCTAGCCTGCTAATGAGCCAGGGTCCTGAGGGAAATCTGTGAAGCAGCATGATGTGCACTCCGTCATTATAATGTTGCTTACAGGAGGTGATACCTTCATTTAGTTCTGGCGTTGTTGTTGTGACAGGAGTCTGCTGCAGCTCTCCAGGGCTGTAATGCTGCTGCTCAGGCAAAGAAAACAAAAGGCTGATTTTGCCTAACTTACAATGTAGTAAAATCTACTTCCAAAATTATGTCTGATAGGTAATGGACCAAGCTTTTCCTTATAAAACACCATTTCTAAGTGCTAGTTTATTTTGTCTTCTTTTGATGCATCTTTGAGGATATGAATTATGCAATAGGCAGTGAGACTCATCACATCTGGTTGCTCCTTTGTCATTTTATCTCTCACTTGTCAGCATTCTGCTGCCTTTATTTTACTTTCCATGGAGGTAGTGCCTAAAGACTGATAAATGCATTAAAATTCCTGAGCTAACTTTGTGTTTTCTATGAGCATACCTATTTACTCTGCCCTGCATATACTGGAAAAGTAAACATAATTTAATTACTGTGTGTTGCTCAAAGGGTGAGCTTTTTTCTCCAAAAGTAAAGCATTATTTTACAAAGGTTTCTCCAACACTGAATAATGTGTTTTAAAAAGAATTGTTAGCCTCTTTTCACTGATTTTTTCCTACTGAACATCACTGGGACATTTGACTGGCTTTTGACATAGTACACCATCCTTTGTTGGAGGAGACTCTTAACAGTGTTATCATGATGACCTTCTCTCTTTTAATTACATTTTTATCTTTGTGTTGATCTCTTCTAACAAGTTTCAAGTCTTAAGCATTGTGTCTTAAGCATTGTTTAATACACATGGAAGAGTACTGAATTTTTTTTCCAAATAAAAATGTGTTGGTTATAGAGCTAGATTTTGGTTCATTGCATATATATGCACAGATGACATCATATTTAAATATTCTAAGAATTAGTATATGGGTGAAAATACTGGTGTTATGTCATTAGCTTTAGGAAATACCTTTAATGTGTGCTTCTGTATTTATTTTCAGTAGAGAAGGAGCTTGATGCATTTTGCCTTCATGTTACTGTTTCTAATGTGTCTGTATAGTGATTGGTTTAAATCCATAAATGCTTAGTCTCTGAATCTTTTTTTTACTTCTTCAGCATGTGTAAAAGCATTGTCTGCCTTTCTACTCTAGATAATGTAGACATTAACTCATAAAGATTTCATTCAATCCAATAGTTAAATATTTTCTAGATAAATGCTATATGGGTTACTTAAGGTTTAGAAAAAATCTCTTGTCAGAATGTTTCACTTTAGCCAGTCTGCTGGCTTGAGTAACTAGCTTGCTGTTACTCAAGAGGCATTCTAAGCAAACATTAAGTTCTGTTTATTCCTTTTCTACAGGACATTGTACCAGTGGATGCCTCTTACGAGGTAAAAGAGCTTTATGTGCCAGAAAACAAGCTACAGTTGGCCAAAACTGATGCTGAATCTCTGTTAACCCTCGAAATAAATAAGGTATTGTGTGTTCAGGTATCTCACTGCTGCAGTTGAAGGACAGTCTGATGTGTTACTTAGTGTTAAGTCAGTGCAGTTGAAATACCTCCACTGGTTACAGAATACACCTTGATAGACTTTTTCCCTCTTTCCTTGAGTGAAAGCAGCAACATCTGTGGTTTCTTTGTTTACTTACCAGAGATAATTGACCTTCATACTTTCATGAATAATGTTTGATATAGTGTTACTTAGTTTATCCCTGGAGAAAAATTTTACAGTGATTTCCTCCCATGCTCCCCCCAGATCCATGGATGAAACCATGCCTGGAATGTCATGTATAAGATATTGTTTCTAGAAGGATTGCTTACTTTTTTTTTTTTTTTTAGTTTAGTTACAGAAACCATTGTGAATTGTGATTGCCTACTTCTTGATTCTTCCTGTTGGTAGTTTTTAGCTGAACAACATTAGCTTTCAATATACATAGAACACTCAAACAGTTGAAAGATGTAATCAGATCTACTTTATTGCTTTTTTTTTTGCTGATTAGAACATACTTGTGCTGTTTCTAGTTTCCAGCAGAGAGAATATGGAAAAACATGGAACAACTTGATCAACCCTATTCTTATTTTGGTTGAATGCATTATTTTTCAACTAGGATCAATTAGATGAAGCTGCTTCTGGCTGTGTTCTACCTCATTTATTTTTCTGAATAACTAAGCCTAAACACAGACACAATGCATGGAGGTTTTTCCCTGGCTTTTTGCTGGTATTACTAGATCTTAAAGCTTGATCTAGGAGCTGACTAAGCTGAGAGTTTAGCATCTGTGAGTAGACTTTGAAGGACTGGGGTGACATACGAAGCATTGAACTAAGTCATTTTAAAATTTACTTAGTCATCTACTAGTAATGAATATTGATACTTCCTTTCACCATGTTTTATTAATTTTTTTCACATATATCTGCTTAAAACTATTAATTGCTTTGTTGAGGAATAAATAAGTTAAGGTCACCATTATTAAACTTCAGTAGTGTCCCATTCTAAATTGCTTCCTATCTAAAAAAACAAATAATTTCTCCCTTCACCTCCAACCACTGGCTTGTTAAATATCAAACAAGTGTCTAATGTAAGCTCAGGAATAAACTGTGTTTTGTACTTGCCTCAGTATAAATTAAACATTGTCATAGAACTAGTCATGCCCTTTGCAAAAGAGACTTGCACAAGCAAAGCCTCCTTGTCAAAAATTTGACGAAGTCTTAGTAATGTACATGCAGAAATAATGGAGACCACACACTAAGTCATAGTGTGACTGAGTGCTAGGGAAGGAAATTCTGTGTAAACTGATATCTTATACTAAAATAAGTACTAGTTCAGAGAGAATTTTACTTCTGGATTGTGTCTTAGTTTATGAAAATAAAAAGTCTCATTTATTTAAAGATTAGACCTCTTAATATTTATACCCATCATTCTGATATTTTTCTATCAGAAGTAATATATTAAATTATATGCATTATTATTTTTCTTTTTTTGTTGTTTTTAATGACTTTGTTATCTTGTTTTGTTAGATAAAGGCAAGTGGGATTCTCTAATTTTGTTAAGATGAACTTTATCAAGTTTTGCAAATAAAATTTGTTATTGTGTGTTTCTTGGTTTGGTTTTTTTAACACATGGAAGTTTGATCCAGTGTAGGGTCTGGAAAGTAGCCAAAAAAATGAACAGTGAGGAACAAGTTGGGTTTTTTTCCCTACTTGTAGAAACTTTGAATTATTTGTGATTAAAAACTGTAACACGGAGAAATCTTCCATTTGTACTGTCCTGCATTTTAGAATTAAAGCATGATCTATTAGGATTAATACCTGATGCTAGTAATTAAGCAGCAACTTTTACCTGCTCTAAGTCTATTTCTTCATTTCTTTACAAGGTGGATATGCAGTGGGTACAAGTGCTAGCAGAAGGTTGGGCAACACCCCTGAATGGCTTTATGAGAGAGAGAGAATACCTCCAGTGCCTTCACTTTGACTGTCTCCTTGATGGTAGGGTAAAACACACCATTTGTAAAACCAAGCAAACTAATCATACTTCTAAAACACTTTTGATGCTTTGCTTCTTAGTGGTGGTGTGGTAACACATTATCAGGCTTGTGCACAACTTCAGGTCTGGGATAAGGGAATAGAATATTATAATAACCAGTTTTAAATGTAATTATTTTTTATACCTACCATCATATTAGAATTTGAATATTTTGTCTTTTTCCCTATACAATTTTTCTCAAATATCTTATTTTTTGAAAAATGTTTAATTCTAAAATGCACACTTCTAAGTTGTTTTGAAGAAATTGATATTAGAATTTGGAATTGCAATTTATTTGTTGTTTAGCTCTGGGACCAAAACATTTGTTTGGTGTTAGTAATGAAGAAAAGGACAAGAAACTGACTTGAGTGCTGGAGCTGTTACGAGTGTAAAATCAGAATCTGAGTGTGAACAATTGTCACATGTAATTGAATTACTATGACTTAGTAAATTCCTGAGATGATTTAAATGAAAAAAATTTATTTTGCATTACCAGTTGGCTAAGAACTTTGTTAAGATATAAAGTCATAACATCCTCAGATTCTGTAGTTTGATTGTGACACTCTGTCATTTTTCATTTATTCCTCTTTGAAGGCTGTTTTACTCCAGCCTTTTTCCTATATTCTTGCTTCCTTTTGCACCACTCTTGTCTTGCTAGAGACCAAATAGCAGAACAAAAAGAAGTTACTTTCCTCTCAGTTCTATAATACAGACATGATATACAGAAGATACATGTCATCCTTCTTACATTTCTTAATTTCCTTTTGTCTAGATGCTATCCTAGACAGCATAATGCCATCCTGTTACTTTGCAGTACAATTTTGGGCTGATAGTTTTGTTCTCATTTAATTTGCCTTCTGTACATCCATCGAGGTGAAAAGTCCTCTGCAGATGACATGCAATGCATTCAGCTGCTAAAATAGCTAGTAGGTCCTAGTCCTGTTCTGTAATTTTCTATAAATCAGGATTTTTGTTAGGCATTTAAGCCCTTGTATAGGTGAGTGCTTCAGATATAACAATATAACAATTTTTCAACTTCTTTTGGTGTTGTTTTGAGTATCTTGTCTGTGCTACAAAAAAATACAAGTAATGAAAAATAGCAACTTGTTGATGGAAACAATTTTCAGTCCTAAGCTTGAATAAATCATTATGTTCCTCTAGATGTCCTGCTGCTGATTTTCTCTTTTTAGAGATTTACTACAGCACTTACATTTGCAAATCTTTTTAGAAAAATGTGATTGCCCTAAATCTGCTTTACTGCTTGCAGCAATGGCAAGAGTTAAGTCAAAACAACATCCTCAAAGTTTCCTCTTTGCTTGGTGTGTTAGTTCTGGGTCTTACAGCAGCTGTCATATTGCAGGGCTTTGATTCTGAAGAGAGGGAAATAGTTTATTACCTGCAATGCATCTCATCCTTTGGGCTTTAAAAGTAGTGTTCATACTGACTGACTTCTAAGCTATGGAGATTAGTGCAGATATGTTGATAGTCTCCCTTTAAAGTTTAAGTTGTCTGAAAAAGTCTTGTCCTGACACTGTGCTCATCTTGCTTAACTACCTTGCCTCAGTTTGTTATTAGTGCAATTGCTGAAAAAATATAGAAGATATTATGTATTTATTTGCTGGTCGTAGACCAGCAATCAACAGGTTTGACACCTCTTCATACTTTGAAGTATTTATTTACTTGTCTGCAAAGCAAGTTTTTTTTAAATTATCCATTTTGGGGTGTCAAACCACTCTCTGTGACTGCTGCCAAATTCAATTTTATGACCTAGTTGCTTTGAAAATAACTCTGGGCACCAAGACTGAACTTAGGGGTAGATTCACAGCATGCATTATACATTTTCATTATGAAAGAAGGGAATCTGTTTTTCTCTTAAAATTTTCATACGTCTTTATAATTTTTAATTTCCTAATAAAAAAGGTACTGCTTAAATAATAGCAAAATTAGCCTTATTTTAGGGTCTTGGCAAATGCCAAATCCTCCATTAACTTTAAAGGATCCATGACTTTTCTCCTGGAGGCCACCCAAAAATTTTGCACTCAGGCATATGCTTATTAGAACCCAAGCCTTTGTAGTAGACTTATGATATTTACTCCACTGGATTTCTCAAATCTTACTCTTGTAGAAAAGAAAAACAAGACTTCAGCATCTGGCAGTAAAATAGGTGCTTAAAAAGGAGGACCACACATAGCCTTAAAATTCAGCTACATTGGCTCAGTTTTAGGAGGAGAGTAGCTGGTAAATTTCAGCTGAACAAACTATGCAGAATGTTTTCCTGACTCACCAGTTTTTTCTGGAAGATAAATGCTTGACTCTGAATACAGTTTTAAATAAACAACAAAATTTACCTTTTGAAATAGTTCAGTTATTTGTGTTAACTACTTGGGTCTATTTGTCTGCTTCTATTGCATGTTTTTTTTTCTTAGGGGCCAAAAGTATGGCTACTGAGACTATAATTTCCTTTTTACTGATTATTCATTCCAGTAGCAACCTTGTCTGATATTTCAGATGATCTATTTTTAAATGTTATTTGTGTATTTCCACTTTCTATATAGATTCTTAAGAAAGGTATTAATTTGACATTCCCAAAAAGTAGTATCCTCACAGTTTAAATATTTTCATGCAGCTCTGAGTACTTGTTGTGTATTGTGCTTGTGCTGTGTTTTCACTACTGTGTTGGCTTTCTCAAACCTCAATTTTGTAGCATGCGTATCTTACGGATGCGTGAGTTTGTTCCAAAAGTTGTTTAATCGCTGTTAAAATAAGTGTTTCAACTGCCTGTTATGTAATACACTTACAGCCTTGAAAGTGACCTGTTAATTAGGTAGATTTTCATAACAACATTGATGACTATTACTGAGGATAAAGGGCTTTTTTTCTCCCCTCTGCAGGGGGAGTTATTAATCTGTCAGTGCCTATAGTGCTAACAGCTACTCAGGAAGACAAAGAGAGGCTCGATGGCTGCACAGCAATTGCACTGGTGTATGAAGGTCGCCGCGTTGCCATTCTCCGTAATCCTGAATTCTATGAGCACAGGAAAGAGGAACGCTGTGCTAGGCAGTGGGGAACGACATGCAAGGAACATCCCTATATCAAGGTGTGTGTTTTAAAGTTGAAAATCTAGTCCTACTCACTGTACTATTGTGGAGCTGCGAATTTATTGAAGTGCATGTCTATGATTGATGTATTTTGACAAAAAAACTACTTTCAAAATTAATTAAAATATCTAAGTAGAAACAAAGGTATATTTTTTCTGTGCAGCTGTTGAATAGTCTGTACTTAGTGTGAAAATCTAATGTCAATATGTACACATGAAATGAATTTAGAGTGTACTGTAGAATCTGTGCTACAGAAGAGGGAAGTTTGCCCTTCAGTATGCCTAGGAAACACATCCTTCTGTATCACCAGATGGATCATCAAAGCTCCTTAATCAGTGGATATATGCATTGTGAAGGATAGAAAACTTCTTTTCTGTCTGCATGTGGTGCACGTGAGACCTGCCTGCTTTAGATGTTTTTCAAACAGGCCCTGTTCCTGGAGAGTTTATAATTTAAATCTCTGGGGAGTAATTTCCCATCCATTGTGTTCGTTATGTTTCATTATCTTGGCCTTATGTGTATGTCACACAGAAATATTCTAATTGTAACATACTCATCACAATGCTGTGTTGGCTTATGCAAGCTGATGTGAATGTTACGTCTTAGCTCTGCAGAGCCAAAATATCTTTATTTCTCCATTTGTCTCTGAGGTATTTTTGTTTACAGGTATGACATAAAATTAGGTAAAGAGAAATTAAACAAACTTCAAATTATGAGCTTGCTCTCGAAAAGGGAGAGCCTTTGAAATGTTATGAAAGTATCTGTATGACTAATAGAGGATTTTGAAAGCCCTGGATGTGTTCTTGAAAGTGATGTTGAAGACAAGATTATCCCTTTATTGAACACTTAACACAGATATAATAAGTTCTAAGAAAATCTCATGCAGACAAAAATTGAGTGACTTCTTATGTAGAAGATATGGAACTATGTTCTTATGCTTGTACTGGGGTGTATAGTAGTAACATGACAGCATGTGAATTTGGTGACTGTTCTTAATCAGAAATATTTGGGTATCTAAGAGATTCTGTAGTGCAGAGTTTTCTCATCTTTGTATCATTATCACACCTTCCTTCCACCTTGGGAAGATGTTAAAGTCTGGCATTTTCTTTGGGAAGGGAATGGTTACTGTGGCATTATTTAATTCCAGCAGGTCAAAGGAAAAATAAATTGAAAAATTCATACCTAATTTTTGCATCTTGGCTTTTAGGTTTAGTGTGTAGTATCTTCTGTTATATCAAGATTTATTGTCATTTCTAAATTACATAAGGCTAAAAAAGTTACAAGAAATGTGTTTGAAACTTGAAAGTTTCTTGTGATTTCATCTTCAAAAGAAAATGCGTTCTTAAAAATTAAAAATTTCAGAGTAATGTCTATGGCAATTTGTAGAGTATGTTAAGCAGCTTGCCATAATTAGTTTTTGAGAAAATGTGAGGTGATATTTAAAGATATAAAAAGAAGTGTAGTGACTGTCCAACATCTGTTACTTGGGTAAACTGCTACCATGAAACAAGTCCAAAAGCTGTTCTACTTCAAAGATTCTGATTTTATTTGTAGATTAAAATGGGTGAGTAGTTAATCTGAATTGTTTTGTTTGTTGCTTTATTCCTGATGAGAGTTTTGTAAACTACAGAGTGATATTGCAATAGCATTTGCTATACAGTATGCAACTTCATTGTATTGCTATATTGTAATTAAATTTTAAAATACTCACTAATAAAAATATATGCTAAATAAATTGTAATAGACAAGGCTTTCCAGACACTATCTTTGTTTGTCATGCATTGCTGGTAAAGAATATTGGCTATTTGCATTTCTGTATATTATCTCAATTTTGAAAGACAGGTATATGCCTACTGAAGATTTATATAGCTCTCCTGCATCAAGATACAACACGTTTGGACTATGCTCCAGTGAATTTTTTTCATTTTTTAACACTGATGCTTGACTTCTGACTGTCAAATAAAATTAACCTGGAACACAGTCCTTGGTAAAGACATATCCCCTCTTGATACTCAGGAGAAGCTGATAACTAATCCCAACACGGACTTTGTTTTTTTTCTTAGATGGTTATGGAGCAAGGGAACTGGCTTGTAGGTGGAGATCTACAGGTCCTTGATCGTATTTATTGGAATGATGGACTTGATCAATACCGCCTCAGTCCAGCTGAACTAAGGCAAAAATTCAAGGAAATGAATGCTGGTGAGTAAATTTTTTTTGCTTGCTTTCTTTCTGCGGAGGGTTATCCAAATGTCTGCTGCCACCACTGTGGCTGGCATAATTTCAAGGGTGAAAATTTTGAATGCTCTGGTAGGTGGCACTCTTTGCTTTTAATAGTAATAATTTTTATGATCTCACGCATTGCATTGCCTAAATACATAACACAAGCTGGTAGTGCCTGAACTTTATCTTTCCATGTACCGTAGACATGTGAGACATGTAGGTAGTGCAAGAAAAGATAATGTTAAAATGTGATTCAAAGATCATGTTTGACCAAAACCATAGAGATATGGTTGAATGCTGAGCTTTCATGCTCTACTATTTTTAAGTCTGTTACATGCTGCTTCTGGGGAACAAGGCTTATGAAAGTAGTGCAGGTAGGCTGGTGCCAAGTTTCTTTCCAGCACACGAAATAAACCAGTTTTTTTCACTAAAGTGGCTGGGTTAGGCAGATAAGTAAGAGGCTGAAGAATGTCATAAAGTAGAGAACAAACATGCTGGCAGGCAGCTGCACTTGTAAATGTGAGGAGAGAGATTAACATTGAGAATGCAAAGCACAACTGGTCCTGAGCTCCTGTTGTTCTGTGTGGTAGGTTCTATATAGGAGCTGTAGGTCTGCAATATCAGTCTTTTGGCTAACTCCTAAACACATATATTTGAGATCTAAAAAAATCCCTGTTCTCTAGGTTTCATTGGTTCCATATTGGAAAATCTCTCATTACAGTGATTTTGCTGTCTTGCAGGGCACTTTAGTTCATCTGAATTTGCATGAGAGAGAAATCCTGGTTGTGGCAGGATTTTTCATTGAAGTTTTTGTAATACTCTGGAATAGCAGTTAGGCTTGCTCTGTTCTTACCATGCTTAAAATCTACCAAACTAAGGTGAAGAATACTTAGTAAGGAACATTAAATCCCCTTTTATTAGTTTTGTTCCAAACAGGTCCATTTGTTCTCTTGATGGTATATTTAGCCTTTAATATAAGTAGAATAGTATTATTTCCTATTAGAATATAATACCTTTATGCAATGAGGGTATTATGAGTGAAAAATCCAGATAGAAGTTTATAGCTCTTGGAGAAACTAGAATAATTCAGAAGTTGTGGAAGCAGATTTTTTTTTTTTGGTGCGGTTGTTTTTTATTAGTTTTGCTTATTAAGTACAGTGATTTTGTAATAATATACTGAAGATTTTTCTGTGGCTGTACAACTACTGATAAAATAACTTGCTTTCCTTATATCTTTTATTTTGTTTTTTTCCTCCACAGATGCTGTGTTTGCATTCCAGTTACGCAACCCGGTGCACAACGGGCACGCTCTTTTAATGCAGGATACTCATAAGCAGCTTCTGGAACGTGGCTACCGGCGCCCAGTTTTGCTCTTGCACCCCCTTGGAGGCTGGACAAAGGAGGATGATGTTCCTCTTATGTGGCGCATGAAGCAGCATGCCGCGGTACTGGAGGAGGGAATCCTGAACCCAGAAACAACAGTGGTAGCTATATTCCCTTCCCCCATGATGTATGCAGGACCAACTGAGGTAAATACATCAAGAGTTTAAAGTAAATCAAAATCCTTTTGACAGTGGACTAAAATATTTTGTGCTACATCTGACGTTTGTGTGTTGTATTGTTTTAATGGAGGGAGAGAGGAGACTAATTTTGCTTGGGAATGCAGATTATCAAGTCTCTGTCACCAAAAAAACATTCTCTTCTGAAAAAACTTCCATATTGGAGGATTTTGCTGGAAATGGTGGGAGAAAATATTGTTTATAGTTTCTTTCTTTACAGTTACAAGGATATGATAATAATTTAATCTTTCCTCCTTTTTTAATGGTCTTTTTCAGAAGGAGTGATAAGATCAGTTAACATACTGAGTGATTGTCCTGAATGTTAAAATACTTCAGTTTTATGATTGTTAAGCAAGAAGCTTGCATGTTGGAGGGGCATTCACATATTAAAAAAAAAGCATTCTGTTTATTTTTTGGCAAACTTAATTCAGAGAGAATTGTTTCAAGGCTTTTTATGACATAACTATTTGGCAACACTTTATTTAGGGTGCAGGTCTTGGGTTGGAGTCCCTAGAGGTTTGTGGGAGGCAGTAGAAAGAATAAATGTTCTCAGTTGAGGACAGTTCCTTGAGGGGATATTGATTCTCCATCTCATTCTTTTTTTTTTTTTTAAATTTTATTTTTTTATTTTTTTCCCCCCTCCTTGTTTGCCTCCACCTTGACTCACAGGAAGTTCAAGTTCTGACCAGGCTCCAAGGTTGACTCTGGGGTAGCTTTTTTCATAGATAGGCGATCTATGAAGTTAAATTTGGCAGATGCCACTTATTTTCTGCTGGCCAGTGGACTGGTCAAACAGAGCTTTCACTGCCTTTCAGTCCAGAGAAAAAACTGCAGTCCAGATCTAGCTGAGGCATGTGAGTGAGTTCATGTGGGGAATCTTCTGCTGCTCTCCACAAGCCTTTTGTGAGAATTAACAGAAATCTTCTACCTCATTCCTGTATGTGTGAGGAGGAACAAAATCACTTTCCTTATTCTGAACAGATACAATTTTTCTCCTTACCTATTTTTTCTCCTCCTATGACCTATGAGGTCATTTCCAGTGACCACAGAGTACGGCCTGACAGTAATGTTTGTTCAAGTAATAAGAGAGAGTCTTTCTTTAATAATTTTCCATAGGTTATTTAAAAGTCATTGGTACTAGATCTGTTTCTGTAGCACAAGTGCTTTACAGAAGAACATGCATGCTGGTAATATATTTACCTACAGGTTATCTATCCAGTCTGTAAAAATCCTAATGGACAAGTTTAATAAGTATCAGTTTAGCATTTTTTTTGTGTTTTTAGCATTCCTGAAAATGCCTTGGAAGAAGCAGTTCTGTAAGGCAAAGCTGTATCAAAATGCAATAAATTCACTTGCTTAGGAAAGTTAATCTATTACAAGCATTCATGTGCAGTGTGCATGTATTTTGTGTCCTTTGGGTCTTAATGTTCGTGCAGACAAACTCTTAGTTCTGCCTTGAACGACATCCTTGCCACATGTACAAGTCAAAAATACTGAACATGGGTGGTTTTTTGTTTGAATGTGTAGATGGTGCTGAAGTAACTTTCTGAGTACCTACTGTGCAGATAAAATATTTTAGCTGTAAGTTTTATGATGTTCGACTTAACTGGTTCTTTATTATGTTGTGACTCCACAGCAAAAGTCACATCTGGCTAAGGAGAGCATAATAGCTACAGAGTGCATTCCCATTTTGAGGGCTGAAGTTTTGGAGCATTTTCTTCTGTTAATTGTTTTTCCTGTCTCTGTTTCAGGTTCAGTGGCACTGCAGATCCCGGATGGTTGCAGGAGCTAACTTCTACATTGTAGGGCGAGATCCCGCAGGGATGCCCCACCCTGACACTGGGAAAGATCTGTATGAACCAACCCACGGTGCCAAAGTGCTCACAATGGCTCCAGGCCTCCGAGCACTGGAAATTGTACCCTTCAGGGTTGCAGCCTATAATAAAAAAAAGAAGTGCATGGATTATTATGACTCTGATCAGTAAGTTGTATTTTTATTTTAGAAAAATGTTGAACAATAGCTGCCTCTTACCCCGACTACGTTAAAAAAATGTTTATAATTAAATTAATATTGCTCAAATAGGACAGTGTTTAGATAGGTTTTAGATCAATGTAGCTTTTAGACAAATGTAGCTTGAATTCAGCATGATTTGGTTCACAGTGCAACTACCTGACCTAACTAGCTGCCATGTGAAGACTCTCCAAATTCTGAGATTTCTCTGGTTCTGGAACATAATGGCACAGATTGGTAAATCCAGAGAAAGATGTTATTTTTTCTGCTGCTTTGTCTTTCTAAATAAGCTTCTCAGGTATCAGGTGTGCATCAGATAGGAGGGAAGAAATGCAGGTAGATTGTGAAGCTTGGAAAAGAAAGTGGACAAGTTGGGGTGACAAATAGCTATTTATTTTCTGTTAGTAATAAAGCATAATGATGCCCTAAGAATATTATATGTCCCAGGGGTTTCAGCTGTTTTTGATTTTTTTAATCCAATAACAGAACAGTTCATTTCACCTTATGTATGCATATTTCAATGTTATTTTTCCCTTGTGTGGGATAGCAGTGTCCAAAACTTAGTGTATGTGTTGCTCTGATGACAATGAATGATACTGGGAAGATGACTTGTCGTTTTAATTTAATCCTCTTTATTCAGATTATTGAAGTGTACTTTTGGTTTACATCAAACTGCAGCTGAAGTTGGTAATGAAATGTAAACTTCTCTGGGCAACCTGTTCCATTGCTTCACCACCTTCACAGGAATGAGTTTCTTCCTAATATCTAGTTTGAACCTACATTCTTTCACTTTGAAGTCATTCCTCCTTTTCCTATCACTACAGGCCCTTGCAAAAGTTCCTCTCCAGCTCTCTTATAACTTCCTTTAGGAACACGAAGGTCTCCCTGGAGCCTTCTCTTCTACAGACTAAACAGCTCCAACACTCAGCCTGTCTGCAGAGGAGAGGTGCTCCAGCTCTCTAATCAAATTTTTTGCCCTCCTCTGGACTCATTCCATCAGATCCATGGACTTTCTGTGTTGAGGTCCTTAGGTTTGGATGCAGTACTCTAGGTGGGCTGTCACAAGAGTGGGGTAGAGGGGAAGAATCAACTTCCTGGACCTGCTGGTCATGCTTCAATACAGAAAGATCAAAGTGAAGTAGTTTTATTGTTGTGTCAATTCTTACTTAATTAGCATAGTAAGGGAGTAGCAATGTGACAGGCCAAAATTCAGAATATTGATTCTCTGATCATTGATAGTGGGATGGATGTGATTTGAATCAAGGTGAGTAAAATTATGCCTCTGTCATTACCATAGCAAATGATTTAAAAAAACCCCAAACAACTCTTTGAGATTTTTTTAATGAAAAGCAGCGGGAACAGATTTTCCCTTCTGCCACAGACTACATCCTGTGCACCCTTTTATCCTTTTACTGTGTCTATGAGGCCTTGGTTTTGGGCACTTTTTTCCCTGGTTCTGTAACTGTCATGAAAAAAAGCCATGCTGCCACTAATGTGTAGTTCTGCCCTGGTGCTGTCAGGATGTAAGCCCATTTGTTTTGTCATCCCCTGGTTACTGTTTGTAGATGGATTGGTGTGTGGCAGCTATCCTCTAGATGGCAATGCGGACACGTGCAGGCTCCCATCACTGCTCCTGCCTGCCAGACGGAGCACTGTGGTAGGCTCCAGACAGAGTTAGAGCTTGGGTGGGTGCAGCTGGCTGCCTTTCAAGATAGTCTGTGTAATGCTGAAAATGTGGCAGACTCCTGGACCATGTGGTGTTTGACTCTGTAAGGGGGATGGCAGGGAAGAGAGGATTGCCTGGAAACATGAGATGATCAGTACTGGTGGAAGACCCTTGGATGTTAAATAGTGATGTTTGTGGAAATATTTCCTGAGCTCACTTGGTGAAAAACACAGCATGAAAATGTGGGGAGAAGAATGCATAGAAGCATTACTGTGACTTATTTTAAAGGATAATTTGATATCTCTTGCACCTTTCTCAGTTTTTTGAGGCTTAGACACTTGACAGCCAACTAGACAACTCTAGAATTTACAACACTAATGAATGTGTGGACGGTTATGACAAGGGGGTTTCCCTTGGTCTGAGCTATAGCTGGCCATGTGTCTAAGCTGCTGGGTGTAGTTATTCTTTCTGTGTGTGGTCATATCTTCTGGGGAAGGTGCTTCTAAGAAGCCATTGTAGAGCTCATCTGCTACCTTGAGTGTCTCTGTAATTGGGTGGAGTCACACCCACACCTGGCTTGGCAGCAAAGACATGCAGAGGTTATTGCAGTTGGGCTCTTTGTTGCTATTACCTTTTGACTTCTGAGGGAAGTTCTAACACAAGGATGGTGGTAGATGAATCTTTGGCTCATGGTGAGAGGTTACCAAAAGCTTGGTCCAGCTGCCAGAGGGATATCTGAAAAGCTGTGGCTGCAGAATTAGCAGTGGCAGAGAGCTGCTTTGTTCAACTTTTATGAGAGCAGTGTAATACTTGCTGATAGCATTCCTTGTATGCCTGTGGGGATGGGTGTTCAGAGGCTGGGTCAGCACTGGTCAGCTGCCTACAGTAAGGTGTGTGAGACCTAGCTGTGCCTGAGCTGCTCATGACTTTGCTGGGAAGCACCAAAAAGCTTACAGTGACCCTGCCTCCAAATCAGTACCAAAGGCCTCACTTCTCTGGTGTGCTGTCTGTGATTCCAAGAGGTTGTTGTGCTTAAGGTCCTCTGCTCCCAAAGATGACCACACAAGCACAGTTTTGTGGAGTTGGTATAGAAAGTCGGTTTGTTTCTCACTTCTGTTAGTACCCCCCAGAACATGTGCTGCCCTTGGAGTTTCACTTGACCCGGTACCTGCCTGGGACCAGTCTGGAGACTGCTGACTTGCTATGTCAGGACCTCGTGCTGCTGGTTAACAGTGCTGGGCTGTGGTGCTGTGTGGGAGCTGAAGTCACTTGCCCCCTGTTAGTAAGGAAAGGCAAAAATATCCTTAACTTTTATAAATAGTTTAAATTGTTAAAATAAAGGTTACCCTTTAGAACATTAAGACATATGAACAGCTAATGACTTGGAATTCTATTCATGTTTTACCTCATGAAGCCAGTACAATTTTAAATTGGTTTCTTGGACATCTTAGAATAGGTTTAGCATCTCATGAAACTGAACTTTTGAAACTTATTTTTTGAAAAACAATTTGTCTGAAATGTAGATCTAGGAGAGTGATTTGAGGAATGCATTTAAAGTGATGATAGCAGCCTAGGTAGAGCTAATTTCATTTTCTTTTCCCTTTGGTCAAATTAAGGATAATATGATATAAATAATAAAATAATACAATATAAATGAGGATAAAAGTTTTTGTACTTTTAGATTTCATGAAATTTTTGATCCATAATTGAATATATCAGGATGTGTTTTGGAAAAGTTTGTAGTAAAAGCTCTAGTTATAATGGAGTAATTAAAAATGAACATCTGACCTGGTAGAGTGAAGTGTAAAGAAAACAAGCAAAGAACCAAGAAACCAACAAGTAACTCCACCCCCCTCCCTCCCCCTGCTACATCCCTAAACAGCTTACCCAAGGCTGAAATTCCTTTAGAAAATCAGTTAGTGTGCTTCTTCAGCCAAAAAGGCCTCACAAACAGTTACCACAGACAAGTGTAATTTGGGATTAGTGGCTTAATAATAGAAGCTGGTTTTGTGAGCAGAGATTCCCAATTCTTTATGGAAGATCAGTCCTATAAAATGCAGCCACAGACTGCTGCTGAGAAAAAAACTCAATTAAGGAAGGAAATTAGTCTGGCAATTAAAAAAGCCACAGCAGTGTCTGGAATTAAATTACTTTTTTTTTTTTTTTTTTCTCCCTGAAAGAAAACCAAAGAGAGCGTTTTGGCTGAAAGAAACCCTTAAGTAAGGTGACTGGAGCAGATTGTTCCTGCTATCTATAAAATGTAAATGGAGCATGGGTGTCTGTGAAGAATATAGATTTTAACTTTATATCTTTTTTTTTCCCAGGACCTGTAATATGGTTGCCATTACTGCTTTGATACTATAAAATCATACTTATAGGAGAGCTGCTCCAACTAAATACATACTGTTCTGAAGTTTGTTTTTTAAAGTGGTAGTAAGGCTGAGATAAGCATACTTGACTGTTCTCCTTAATTTAGTTATGTGAAATATGTTTTTTTAATTACCATTAGTACATAATGTAGGATACATTGAAATTCTGCATCTGGAGACTTAAACCCTCCTGCCAGTCAGAAAGGAAGCAGGAAAGGATTTGCTTTGCATATGTTGATATTAATCACAATATTGTGTTCTAATTTCACAAACAGTTTGTTCCTGGCTGGTTGGGATTTGAAACTAGCTGGCACTAGCTGGTTCATTCAGCATCATGGGACATGCATTCCCAAGGCATAATGTAGAATTCCTGTAAGAGTTAATGGTGTAAGTCATGACTTGATGCTGCAAAGGCAAGTTTAAATTCAGAGAAAGTCTTTCTAGAAAGGGTTTTTAGGTTAGAAGTGGACCCCAGATAAGTAGGCTGTGAATTGTCCCAAAATCAGTCTACTAGCTGAGTGGAATATCACAGTAGTTTTGAAGACAGACCAGGGTGAATAAGTAATGTTATTGTTTTATTTCCCTATTGTTCTATTTGCCTAAAAAAAATAAAGGCAAACCTGTGAATGAATGGTCTGTACTTTTATCATGAGTCTTGTATTTAAGAGTCATTCTTTAAGACCTTGAGAGCACCAGACATTCTCCACAGAGAATGGGAATTCCTAGAAGATCATTTGCACAGTGCTATATACCTGAGAGGAGGTCGGGGTTCCCAAGATTACAACTGATCTTTAGTGCTTCCAGGTGAAAAATCTACTGTGTAATGTGGTCTATACTTAGATTAAATTTGTAGGGAATAATGCTGAAGCAGAAGAAATGTTTTCTGCAGTTACTGTGTCAATGCACTATATTGACACCTCAGAGGTACAGCACAGGAGGATTCCTGTAGGTCTGTTTCACTTCCTACTTGCAAACTAATGTCCTCCTTGTTTTGTCACAGGACCTGTAGGGTCTCTGAAATCCCTGTCCTCCGTAAGTAAGAAAATTTCACAGTGTGTGTAGGTATGGTTTCTTCCACACTGTGAGTGTAGTAGACTTCTAGGATGCTATGCCACAGAGCAAATACCAGTCCTCAGTGTGAAATGTTCCAGGCCTGTTTTTCTGTTGACAAATTTTTGTTGTGGTTTTATTACTGCCTTCTTTCCTCTTTCTTTTTAGAGAATGCTTTTAATTGCAGTGGCACAAAGTATTGTGTTAATACCAGTCAAACTCAATTGGCAGGCAAAGGTCAAATCAATGTTACAAGTATTTAGTAGCATCCAGTGTGGCTAAAAGAAAGCTGATTCCAGCAGCTACTGAGTAAAATTTTCAAAGGCACTTAAATGCCATACTCAGAAAAGACTTGTAGTAAGTTTCATTGAGGGTCATTTCAAATCTGACAGGAATGGAATTTGAATGGCTTTGGCATTTGAATTTTACAGCATCTTTAATAGTCAAATGTTTCCCCTCTCATCTTCTACTCAAGTCCACCTTATACAGAGGACTTTAATGTCCTCAGAATTCACTATGAGTGAAATCACTTGGTGACTTCTTTTACTATCTCCTTCTACTAAAGCAAATCACTCATACTGATGTGTTTTATTTCAAAATGCTTGTGAGTCACATCACACCATAGTGATCACAGTACTGATAAGGTTTTTCTCCTTAGCAGGAATCTCAGTTTCTGAAATTTTATTGAAATTTGTAAATGTAGTATTTTTTTTAAAAGACAAAAAAAAATATTATCTTGTGTATGTATTGCCAAGGCTCCATTTGAGTTACTTTAGCAATAACAAATTTAAGTAATTTTCTTAAAAGAAAAACCCTGTCAAAATAGACCTTCAGGATAATGTGAGGACACCATTAGTACTTTTAAAATTTTTAATAGTATTTTGGAAACATTTCTAGAAATGACATGCTGAATGTATTATGTTTCTGATATGATTCTCACTCACTTTTTTTCTTTCATTTTTAAAATAATTTCTGTAGATCTCCTTAGCTTCATATTTCTTCCTTGGTATCTCTGCTTCTTAGTTGTTTTCTGTGCAACTAGGGATAAGAAGCAGCTAAAGGAGTTGTATGTGCTATTGAAGGAAACTTCCATGACATATCTAAATGTAGTAGCTTGGTAGCATTCTTCCACTTGTAGGGTATGGGACAAAGTTGATTGCTTTTCTTAAGAAAAAAGGGAGAATAAAGCACCTTTTTTTAAATGCTCCAGCTTTTGTGTAGAGAAAACACACATGGAGAAACTTCATAGTGTTTGCTTTACTCTTCTTTTCCTGATCATCTGAAGACTTGGTATTTTTTTTGACATAATTAATCAGATTTATCTCTTCCCCACTTATATTTTATATAAATAGTTCTTTGCAAAGAACTCAAGTTAACTTCAGGCAGTGTTAGTGAACAGCAGAGATCTTTCTGGTAAAGAATAACATTTTCAGATGTTATAAATAGCAGTGCCAACTTTTTCTCCCATGGAGCTGCATCAAGTTTAAATTTTCATTTTTATTTAATTTATATTTTGCTGGACTAAAGCACAGTAGGGTTTTTTTGTTACACTTCAGGAACCCACAGTCCCCAATTGCAACAAGAAAAGAGCATGTATAACTGTGCTGGTGTGTAAATATATACAGTCCAAATCAAAAAGTTATGGGGCTAGTGTTGTGAAAGGGAACTGAGGAACGCTTTCTGCATCCTGCTGACTTCCATACCCTACTGAGCATAGACCTGCACTTAGAGCCAAGTTTTGCCCTCTGATGTGCACTCTTGGCTCCTGTTTCTGTCTAAGGCATGTACATCTGAGATCAATACTTGGTTTTTATTTCAAACAGACAAGTAAAGAATGAGTAATGCATACATGTTGCAAATTGAGTGAATGCATAAGTAAAATTACATATTTAATTTAGAAATACATAATTTTTTTCCTTGGAACATTTGATAGAACTCTGGCATTCTTGTCTTGCTTTTACCATTTCAGTCCTGTGAGGAATAGTTTAATTTGTGGGGCTTTTGCTGCTTATGACCACATACCTGAGAAATTAATAATTTAGATTCTAATGTTACCAATGTAAACAATCCTGATCTGTGTTCAGTTTTGCATTTGTCCAACTGAATTTTGTTTTTTAGGAGAAAGGTGTCTTTAGGGGAAGGTATTTTTATTATTCCATTGCTTTTCTCTTTCTTTTGAATTGTATATGCCATGTTATTGATATGCATAAATATTATATGTGTGCTTAGGTCTTGCAATGGCACAGCTGGGAAGCTTGCCTCTAGATTCTGAGCTTTTACTTTCTCTGTTCTCCAAACAGTCCTTCACTAAGATGTTATACAAAATTTTTTAGCACATTCTCTAGTGGCACTGAAATTACTTTCTTGAACCAGCATGGGAACATTCAACCAGCTGGTCTCCTGCCCTGGCAAGGATGGCTGCTGTTGCCTTGGCAGAGGGCTCAGACAGTAGGTAGAGTAGGTGGTTCTCCTTCAACAGGAGTTTGTTTCCTCACAGAGAGCAAGCCAGGCTCAATGGAAGCACAGACTGAATTCAGTCCACAGGGGTTCAGTTGTACCATGCTGCTAAAACCTCAGGAGTTACCAAAGCTGAATATTTTAGAGGATGTATATTCCTGAGATTTACTGCCATCTTGGCCTTGAAATGACAGCTTCTATACAGTATTATACTCCCAAGAAAAAATGTATGAAGTATCAAGAATGTACAAGGAGAAAGAGCAACTTTGCCTGCTTTTAAACTATCTTCTTTTTTCCCTCCCTTTTCCTCCCCCCACTACTCTCTCAGCCATGAAGACTTTGATTTTATATCGGGGACCCGCATGCGCAGGCTGGCTCGAGAAGGACAAAACCCACCAGAAGGCTTCATGGCTCCCAAGGCTTGGACTGTGCTGACAGAATACTACAAATCCTTGGAGAAGGCTTAGGCCTCTTATTAACTGCAGATCAACCTTTGACGCCTGATTTATTTACGAGAAGGGGACCACACAGTCACCATTCATGTTGCTTTGTTGTGGTGTCTGTCAGGAAGTTCTCTGAAAACAGACTCTTTCTTCCTAACTTAGCATCATTCTTTGCCTGCCCTTATGGGTTCCATTATGTCCTGGCACCTAACTAGCTGCTGGTTTTAATGTCTTCTCTTTTATTACAGTTAATATGCTTGCAGTAGAATTTTTAACTCCTGTATTTTTTTTTATATTTTACTGCCTCTGTCCTGAGTTCTGCAGCTGTTAAATAGATGCAGCTTTTTCATATTTTATTTAAGCTGCTGGGTAGTGTCTGATTTTTGTAGTTTGTAGGAGAAAATGTAAGAGTTAATCCCTTAACTATGGATAGATTATCTATAAATCAAAAAAGTGAAGAATGTTTCAAAATATCTGTTAAAGTGTCTTCATCTTTGTCTCATCATTATCATCTCCAGAAGCACTTAAAATTTATTTCTTACTAAATGTAATCAAAGAGCAGAGGGGGTTTTTTATGTAGCATAATTAAAATTTTGCTTTCTTTGTTTAATTTCGGAGTTCATTGAGTTGTAAGTTGATTCTCCTCTGCTGTGGACCTGTAAAGATGGCCAAATAATGAATAAAAGAAAATATCTAGTTTTTACTTTGAATTGTTAACAAATTCATGTATTGTTTTTGTATATGCTTGCTGCCATAGGTGTCAGTTGGGTATGTTTTATTTCATTTGATGTAACTTACTGTTTTTTTGTTCCAGATATACTTAATCAACCTACTACAACTTTTTTAAAAGCATGATAGCCCAAACTTAATTTTATGTTTAATTATTGCAAGAAAAATAAAGAAAATCCTTAGATTTTGGCATTTCCTGTGGTAAAAATTCTTTGTTCAGATATTAATTTTCTGTCTGTTTTTCTAGGTCTCCAAAGAGTAATCTTGTGAGCCAGCTTTGCTTGCTTTAAAGACAAAGCACATGTACTTTTAGGATTCTTCAAAAATCCTGAAGAAACATAAGAAATGAAAAGTAAAACACTTTTTCATGTGTAAAGTAACACTGACCAATATATTGGTGTGTTTTCAAGCACATGCAGGTAATCAGTGGAGTAGTCATAACCTCTCTTAGCTAGAAACCACTTTATATCCTTGTCACAGAAACTTACTTTTTTCTTGTTAAACAGTGTATATAGGAAGAACCAGCTCAAAATTGTTGTTAGAATGTCAACACTGAATGCAGCATGTGTTCATCTAGATTTTTTTTTTTGATGCCAGGAAGGTTGTGATGAGGGGATCTGTGTAATGAATGGGATGAATGCTACTTGCGGTTGTTGTTTACTTGTTTGCAGTAGCATTTAAGACAAATTTTTTGAGACTGACTTCCTCTTTTCTTCGTCTGTCTCTGAAGGGATGTAGAATGTATTTTTTAGTGGAATTCTTTCCTGTGCAAGACAGTAAGGTGGAATTTGGAAAAAAATGAGGGGCTTGTTTCTCAGCACACCGCAACAATTGCTTGAGACTGTTTTGGAAGTGTCAAGCTTATTTCTTTGGAATCACTGAACAGATTTTCTTGAAACTTGGCTTTCTTTTTAGGTTGTATCAATATATAGGATGTATAAAATCCAGAAGAAAGAATCTGTTCATCCATGTGCAGCTGTTCATGCAAAACTTCAGGTTTAACAATGAAAGTGAACTAAAGTTGTCAGCTGCTAAAATGGAATTATCTGTTGGAAGCTGCAGCTTGGACTCTTTGCTGTCAGGTTTGATTCTTTTGCTAGATATGATGAAAGATAATATTTTGACAGAATAGCAAACACAGGTGAATGTCTACAGAAATTGTTTTTAAAATGCTATATGAAGCCTAGAAAATAAATGGGAGTGATGAATGTGAATTTGAATCATCCTGTGAAGTGAACTTAGAAGCAGGAATGCCTTCAAGCAGATTAATACACTGATAACAAGAAGATCTAGCTTTCTAGAAGTAACCCATGTTGTTGTTATAGTGCTTCTGCAAAGCATTTATTGGAGGGCTCTGTATTAAAGAAGCTGCAGTCTTTTGTGAACTTAAAGACACAGCATTCCCAGCATAATGCTAATTGTGAACAGGAATATCTAATTGATTGTAGGCAGGAATTGCTCTATACAACAATATTTTTCTGTATTTTATGAGTTTTCATTGTAGAGTTCAAATTTTTCCTCCTGTCTGCAGCTTCCTTATTTAAGGAAGCCATACTTACAAGAAAGGGCTATCCTACCAAAAATTATTCTTCTGCCAGTGTAGCAGCCACAGGGCATGCAAGGCCTCCCTGGTGGTCACTTGCATAAGAAATGCCCAGTCATGATGACTGCACCAAGAGACCCCTTCTGCCTTTGGAACCTCATTATTTCTCTGTAAGACCATAGGTCATTTCACTTCAACCCTTGCTATTGGACAACTTCCAACACCCCTGTACCCTATGTAAAACCCCCATTTCTGCCCGTTTCAGCAGAAGAGCTGTCACTGAAACCCTTCGCAGGAGCTGCCAATAAAGATACGTCTGTGGAACCTCACACAGCCTTCCCCTCTCTCATCCCTGCATCTGCCTAGGCACTTAGCAAGCAAGGAGCTGAAATCATCAAAGAGCTGATCTCACTTAAGAGCTGAGCTACTTGCTAAGATTTCCCGTGGCTGGGAGCCTGCCTGGGACACCTGGACAGGTTGCGGTTAGTGGGACATCGCTATCCGGGTCACCTACGGCAGCTGGGGTGGGATGGACCCTGGGACCCCAGGTTGTAAGATGCCAGTGTCTCTCTTTGGCTTTTCCCTGCCTTGTCTTACCATTATCAGTGGACAAGTCCTAACACTGCTTTCAAGAGCAGGCTCAGCTTCATTATGGTTGCTATGGCATTTGAGATGCCTCTGAGACAGCAGCTGGGGTTCTCCAGAGGCAGCAGCAGGACTAATGAGGTGAGGCTTGTTTCACCAAACAAGTGCCTTCCCACCTGCACCAAAGAGCAGTGACCTCAGGACATGTGATGCAACAGAAATGATGTGATCCATGGATCACTGTGTGATCTCACATGAGGATAGGACTTATCCTCAGGATTACATTTGATCAATGTAAGCAGGACCTAGTTTTTCAGCTGGAAAAATAAAAAGCTACATTGTCTTACTTCTTAATTTCCTAAAACAATATTTTTTTTTTAACTTGAAAAATAATGATATATATGGGAATCAGGAATCTAAGCAGTTGTATAGGTGTGTTGTTACAAAGAGCAACAAAATCAAACTTCCAAGCATGTCATCTTTCTAAAGGTTATTTAGTAGTCAAGAGGACTTTTACTCTGTTCATTAAGATGAGAAATGTCAAAAAGTGTTCCCCCTGCTTCATATTTTATACCTCTATATTGATTTACCTTATAAATGGTTCTTTACCTGTTGCTGTTGTACAGGATATTTATGGCAATTATCCTGTACTTTTTGTACAGTCTTGAGATGATTATTCTCTTCCAGAGTATCATTCAGGATGTATTGGGCATGTGAAAGTAGTAACACTCTTGATCCGTATGGCTGATACAAACACAGTCAGCTTTTCAAATTACAAGATGAACAAGGCTGAGATGGAGATTACCAAACCCTAAACTTTAAAATAAATTGTACAAAATTGCTGCATCTCCTAGATGAAGTAAGTCCTGCAGTACCCATAAGCAACCTAAGAAAATGGAAAATTTTTCTAAAGGACCTCTTAGCTGAGAATTCATTTTTTTCCTTTGCAAGTTCTTTTATGCAATTTTTTGACTAACATGAATATTCAGGGTAAGTTTTCACATAAAGATATACAGGTTGTGATGTAAAAATAGTAGATAAATGCTGAGGATGCTGACTTCTCTCTGATTTTTTTTCTTTAAATAGGGAATCTGAGCACTAGCAATTCAGTAGTGCATCAGAGATGCAAAATAAAGAATGCAGACTGGTTCCCAGGTTCTTTTTCAGATGCTGTTTGGAGCTAATCAAGCTTCTATATCTGGAATAATGCAGTAGAAATCAGGAGGGAAAAAAAATGTCAGGCTGGCCTGACATAGTGGTTGTGAAAATATACAAGACCTGTGTAGTCAATACTGTAATTTTTCTGAATTTGACCTTCTCTTGCATTTCATATTTCCTTAATTTTAAAAAGTTTAATAAGTGGGTCATTAAAAGCATTAAACATCCTGTCTTTCCATGCTAGAAAAAGAAGAAAAATTACTTTGAGCATCCTAAACAAATATTAATGGTGTAGTCCAGATTATTTTCCCTTCACAACAGTTTAAATGTGCTAACCAGCATATTACAGCTTTTCCCTGTAAATGTTGACAACTTCAATAAGTGTGTGTGTGTGACTTTCAACATTCCTTTTATCTCTAGTCATGAACCTTATAGTTACCATCCTAGGAATTGTAGGAACATAGAAAAAAACCTCTCATCTCTGCTTCCCTTTAAGTCAGAAGATCTGTTACTTCATCTGTGGCACTATCTCCAAAGACAGGGAAAGGTAAAACTAATCCTTCACTTAGTATGGGAAAATTGATAGGGAAAAAAGAAGATGGAAACTGGATCTTCATCTAACTTTGCATGTATGTCTATAGGAATGAGATTTAGAATGTTTGTAAGAAATGTGTGGAGATGGTATTCTGCTCAAATCTAACATAGAATCCCTTCCCCATCACCTGTAAAAAGGCAGGGACATCAACCTGGAGTGAGTTGGCCAAATTAAACACTGCAATGAAAGCAACTGATAGCTCAGAATAAGTATTTTGTTTGTCTTATTGGTCTTCGAAACTTTGAAATCAAAATTCTTGATTTAAATGCTATTAAAGAGAAGAGTGGCTATGGTCCCAATTTTTTTTTTTAATGCTTAGTTTTTTAAAGAGGCAGCTGAGAAGCTAGACTGCTAAGGGGAAATTTAAAGCCTTCAATGGCCAATTTTATGTATATGAGAGTTTCTTGACAGCAGCCAAACAAGTGCCAGGTAAACATGTGATTTAAATGGTGACTCAGCAGAGGTTTCTGCTCATTTGTGTTGTTTTTACCTTGAAGACAGCCTGAGGGCTGGAATACCAGTGCCTCTTTTAAATTAGCTTTTTCATTCACAAAAAACCTTTTTGATTATGAATATAGCTGGATTTTTACTAGGCTTTTGAAGTGTCCATTGAAGGGGTTTATTTGTTTCTCCTTCAAGCTCTGTGTCTGTTCTTGTGGAATTAATTTTTTTTACCTGTATCCCTTTTCATTATTTAGTCTTTATTAAAATCACTTTTTTTCTTCTCTATGGAGGTTATATATGCTCATGAGCCAGAATCATGCATTCAGTATTTCCAGAACTGTTTGCCCTAGAAACCTCATCTTGATATAATTTTGAAGTTGAGGGGGAAAGGCAACTACACTGAAAGTTAGAAAACACAACTTTAAAGCCACATCTGGAATTCTTAGACTGTTAGTGGCTCCAACTTTAAACAGAGAGTACAGAGATTTTATATGCCATAAAACTCAAGAAGCCTTGGATCCAGTATAAGAGTAACCACCCGACTGTCATGTTAAAATCCATCTACACAATGCTTTGAAGAGTGATACCTGTCTACGTGTAAAATGAGGAAAAAATATCTGTTTCAGTATAAACTTTACTGGGCTGGAAATAGTGCCCAAATCTTGCTTTTAACCTCTGCAAGCAAAGCTGTTTTTTCTGTGGAGTCCTATGTTCATCACTATAAATTTCATCCTATGAAAGGAATACAAATATTTTGGCCATATCTGTTTATTTTCATCTCATAGCAGCAGTTATGGTGCATGTAAAAAAAAACCCTTTCAGTCCAAGCTGTGAGTTTTTATCTTTTGCTGAGCACCTGCAGATCTC